GAAGTCCTTTCTAGGCCTCGGAGGCCCAGGTCTGCACCCACACAGAGAATCATTTGTTAAGGTATTTAAATCCCACCACTCTTCCAATCCCATTATGATTTTAAGACGTACTAAAAAGTGTTGTCCATTATCAGTTTTACTATTCATCTTAACTATAAATGTGTTGACAACAGTTCCAAAAAGCAGACTAATGGGATAAAAATGGAAGTTAAGACATATCTTTTAAATCTCTTTGCAGATCATATTATTTTGATTCTCACAAATGCTTCTTATTCAGCCAGCTATTTTAAGGTTAGTGGAATTTGCAGGGGTGTTAGTAGGAATATCAATTAATTTTCATAATATCACAATTTAAAAAAAATTCATACACCATCCCCCAAAATTTAAGAGGAAAATTCCACAGTTTTAGGGGTTCCAATAACATACAAATCTTTAAAATATTACTATAAGTAAAGATTCACTGGTTGAGATAGGTGGCTATAGAAATTAAATAAATCAATAAAATGTTAATAAAATCTTCACGCATAATTCTGTACCAACTTGGAAGAAATTAAATAAAGAAATAAAAACTGGGCTTCAAAATATTTCAATATTTTAGGGCAAATTACAGGGGTTAAAGTGAAAATTCTTGGCCAGCTTAATTTTTTTATCTCAGCGTCTCTTAGGGGTAATTTAAGATCAGGTTTGCGCAAATACTGGAATACTGCTATCATGTCCCCCCTAGTCTTTTTTTTCTCTAGACTAGTCAAACCCAAATCCTGCAACCATTCTTCATATGTTTTTGTCTCCAGGCCTTTAATCATAAGGTGACCAACCGTCCTCCTTTAGGGAGGACAGTCCTCCTTTTGTAAGTTCTGCCTCCCTCGAAAAGTGTCCTCCTACATGTCCTCCTTTTCGATATTTGAAGACTAATCTGCAGGGCTTTTTTTTTTTTCTCATAGAACTCTCAGAACGGCGTTCAGGCACCTTTTTTTTTGATTTTTTTTTTTTCAACTTTTGCATGAGCTGTGCTACTCCCCCTATTGGCTTTCGAAAGCCAATAGGAATTGCTGCTAAGCGCGCCAAAACACCCAGCCAGAAAACTTTGCACATGTAAGTTGTCTGCAGCCGAAGGCGAATTGGCAGGAATTTTGCACCCCTCCCTGCTACCCAACTACACCATCTCCTAGTTAGTCCCGAAGATACCTGAAGGAGACTAACTTCCATTTAGGGATGGAAAAATCAAAAAAGAGGAAATGCCATTTCAACAATAAATTGAATAAGGAATTTCCATTCAGCACATCAAAGAAGGATAACATTGTTTTCTGCAATATTTGCAGCGGAGAATTTTGTATTGCAGTTGGGGGCAGAGCAGCTATTACGAAACACTTGACCACCAAGAAACATAAGCAATCATCAGATGCATCTGCTTCCAGTTGTAAAGTAACAAGTTTTTTTAAAACTTCAAAGTATTCTGAAGATGAAAAACAGTTAGCTGCAATGGAGGGAACATTTGCATTCCATACCATACCATAATTCATAATCAAAGTTTTCATAGTATGGATTGTACAACTAAATTATTGAAAAAGTTTCACAATGCTAAATTTTCATGCGCCAGGACAAAATGTGAGGCTATTATTAAATCAGTACTTAAAAATTACTGTGACAAAATACTTACAGAAGACTTGGAAACTGCAGCATTTGTAACGGTTTTATCTGATGCATCCAATCATAATGAAACTAAATTGTATCCAATACTAGTAAGATATTTTAATGTCACCAAGGACATTCAAGTAAAAATTTTAAATTTATAATCCATTGAGGGCGAAACTGCTGAAATTTTGTCAAACCATCTATACAAAGTAATAAATGAAAACAATTTGAAATCCAAAGTTGTTGCACTAATAGCTGATAATACAAACACAAATTTTGGTAGCTGAAGACGCAAAGGGGTGAATAATATGTATGTAAAATTACAAGATTTACTCCAAAAGAAAATACAAGGAATAGGTTGTAATACACATATTTTGTCAAATGCAATCAACACGGTATCATGTGCCATGCCAGTTGATGTAGAAGTAATAATAACTACAATTTATTTGTATTTTAGTTGTTTTACTGTTCATGTGGCTACTTTAAAACAATTTCGTGAAGAAGCGAATGTTCAATTCAAAAAACTTTTAGGATATTCAAAAGTTAGATGGCTTGCTATAACACCTGCTATAGAGCGTGTTCTACAATTATTTGAGCCTCTCCGTTCAGATTTTTTAAGTTTAGACAAATGTCCTAAAATCCTGGAATCGTTTTTCAATAATGAAATATCTGAGATATTAATGTATTTTGTTTATAATCAAGCATCTATTTTTCACAAAACGATTCAAAAGGTTTAAAGTGAACATATTTCAGCTACAGAAGTTAGTCTTATTTTGAATGACTTTATCCTTCAATATAAAACTTGATTTGAAAAAAAAATTCTTCCTTTAGTTATAAACAGAAAATTGTCAGACTTAGAGGAATCAAATCCAGGCATAAAGGAAAAGTTTATCAAAGAGTGCAGAATTTTTACCAAATATGTTTTCAATATATCGAAGAATGGTCTGAAAGAAACATCGCAGGAAATAACAGTTTTCAATGGTCTTTTTTGACTTCATTGCAAGTATATTGGACAGATATTGAATATTGTGTTGAGTTTTTATCTAAAGAAATGCCAGACATTAAAATAGACGACAATTGTCTCTTTGAAGAAATTAGAAGACTGAATGTATTTTTAAATTCTGAAAAATTAATACAGTGGGAAAATAAACACGTTGAAATTGATAAAAGATGGGTGGAAATATTCAGCCATTTCAAAAATGAACATATTCCATGTGAAAACGTATTTATTCTTGTTCAATTTACGCTGAATGTTGATACTCTAGCTGCAGCACTTGCCGTAAAATTCAATATGAAGGATATTTCTTGTTCAGATATTTCCAATATATTGTTAGAAGATGATACATTGACAAAAAATATTCATTCAATGTAAAAGTACTCATTTAAATAATAATTAATAGGCATGTAAGCATAATTACAATATAAAATGTTATTGTTACAAATGTTTTTATTACGCATTTATCATATTATAGTGTATTCTGTATTATTGTTGCAATGAATAAAATGTTTCTTTTATTTACGATATTTTTTCTTCAATTTATTTGTGTCCTCCTTTTCATTGTAAAAAAGTTGGTCACCTTATAATTAATCACCTTAGTTGCTCTTCTTTGTCCTTTTTCCAAAGTCTCAACAGCTTTAATTTAATTCTATTAAATAGTGTTATTTTTTTCTTCTTTAATGATGTTTAAAATATTTTCTTACTAAAACATTTATTTGTGTCTATTTCCATCTTAGTATGCACACAGACATCCATTCATTTCATATTTAATTTTAATTTGCTTCATTTTAAAATATGTATGCTTATTCCTGAGGTTCAAAATGTAAATACAAAGTTTTAAATACAAATCTGAGGACTTTTCAAACATTATCGTTCTTCATTCGTCTTAAAAAAAAACTTTTGATCAGTCTTCTCATGGATAGTTCTGGTTAAAAAGATAGCTAAGCTACCATTTCTAGAAAGACAAGAAGTCTTGTGATGGTTTTTGTTTTGTTTTGTTTGGCTGAAATTGAGGCAACTGCTACAGCAGTTTTTTTAGAAATGTCAACTATGAAAATAGCTTTTTAAAAATAAAATAAAAGAGGTTTCTCATTAATGAACAATTGATTCGGAAGGAAAAGATATTCCCTGACCGGGAATCGAACCCGGGCCGCGGCGGTGAGAGCGCCGAATCCTAACCACTAGACCACCAGGGAACTTGCAACATTTCCTTTCCTTAGTCTTAACATAGTCAAAAGTGAACCTTCTGTATTTTGTACTGATAAATGTAATGATCTTCCGTCAAATCACAAGGAGACCCAATGAAATATATTATAATGATTCAGAAATTTTAAATTGAGGTTTTTACCAGCAGTCAGAAAAATAACCTGAAGTTTATTTTCTATGAAACGCTATGATAAAGCATTCAGGAAGAGCCGGCGGTTTTCATTTCTAAAATTCAGAGATCAGGATCTTAAAAGGAAAGGGGGAACGAACGGAGAGCGGGAGTCTCTTCTATGCATCCGGCCTTAAATTATCTACCCCGCAAAATGCTTCTTCGGTAGCAGAGGGAAATTGAAAGTGAAATAAAACGTGAACGCGTCCATAAAATAACCAGGATGAAAAAATGTTTAAAATCTATCTTCCACTTGTTTTCTAGATACATGTTGGCACATTTTGGGAGAAATAAAGATTAAGAAAAAGAGATGTGTCAGAAGTGGGATTTGAACCCACGCCTCCATTCGGAGACCAGAACACCCAGCACAGGGAAGGAGCGAAGCCTTGAGTCTGGCGCCTTAGACCACTCGGCCATCCTGACACTCGCGAGAAAAGCCTCCGAAAAGACGCCCTTTACACTTCCATTGCGTCCCATCAGCACCACGAGCTAACATTTCGTTTTGCAAAGCAATTTTTACGCAAGAAACTTCTTTCACGTTTCCTCGGGAAATTAATGCGCCAGGGTAAATAGCGAACTATTGAACTCCAGCAAGCCACAAAGTGTAACTGCACCACAATTGGAAAGCTAAACGTCCACTCAAGCCAACAGACGTTTGGACGATGTTTATACTTCTTGGGGCCAAATAGTTCCAGTTCCAACTGGGTTCTTTTTTTTGTAAAATTAACTGACTCCTTTTTTAAAAGAATACTTACTGCTGCCGCCTCCTAATTTGCTGATATTTATTATTATGTATAGTCGGTCGCAGCCCTAGTTTGATAGGCAGTAGGACAAACTCAATGAAAATTCATTTTCATGGCATAACTATTGCAAATTATCCAGTTTCTTCCTAATGTTATCTTTTTGAACAGCTGTCAAATTTTTAGATAGCTGTTTAAAATAAAAACCCAGAGACAAATCCCCTAAAAAAAGAAAACACTAGAAAAACACATCCAATTCATTGACTGTAATTGCTAAAATCCTGATTTATTGGAGAGACATATATACATACTGTACATATGATGTTCCTTTTCCTTTTTGCAAATACCTCACAAACAATTATGTCAAACATTTAATCATGGCTCATCTTTCTTAGCCTTGACCTTGAAGTTCTGGCTTAGATGCTGATGAAATTGTCTTCAAAAATACAGTCTTCACTTTAACTTCCTTCCTATTGTTTGGGAATAACAATTGTGGAGGTGAAAGTTGGTGCCTTCTTAGGAAAGGTAGACCACAGGATTTTTTATGCTTAAAAGGGCAGGAAAATACCTTAAAGTTTCTTGGATATTTTTTAAGATCTTTGGTCTTCTCCCTTCGGCTTCCTGCAGTAGAAGGGAGAATGCTTCTCTAAGCACATTCGGTGCTGGTGGGTTCGGCCGAGTGCTTGGCCAGCTCCTTTGTCATGGCTTCCTTCAAGGCGGCTTGCACATCTGTGCCACTGAGGTCGGACAGCTCGTTCTTCTGGCTCAAATTCTCCACCTCTGTGGCCACATGGTCGTAGACATCGGTCAGCAAGGTCTTCATCAGGCTCCTGGCCTTGGCCTCCATCCTCACCTTGGGCATCTGCCGAAGGACCTTGGAGGCAAACAGCCTTGGGGAGCAGACCCTCTCTGGACCACTGTCCGCTGACTTGGTGGCGGAGGCCTGCTTGACCCGACGCTTAGGACGAGCCTGGTGCTTCTTTTGTTTCCTAGGCTGCCGTTTCTTCTGCTTCCGCTTAGCTGGCTGATGCTTCTTTTGGATTTTCTTTCTCTTTGCATCTCTGACTTTCCTTTTGCCTTGCTGTCTGGCAGCCATTGTTCTTTTCTCTTGAAGCCCCTGCCTGAAATGTAATCAGATTTTTGAGGCAATGTCACTGATAGACAGCATCATGAAAATGGAGATACACCTGATTGGTTGACCATCTTTGCCTTTATTACAGCTGATGTGTCATTGTTACATTAAAATGGTCTATGATCACCAGCTTGATGACCATTTCTGTAGACAATATAATGCCAAGCAGTTTCACCCCTTCATCAGCTATCCTAAAATACATTCTAAACTACAACATACTTTGCTATTTATTCAAGAATTACTACCCTTATGTTCTTTAGCTCTCAAAAAAGGAAGCATTGAATTGACAATGACACTGGGAAATTATTACAGTATTGGCAAGCTTCCTGTTTTCTGGGTATTGCGAGATCCTGCCCCAATCCTAACTATTTTTGATAAAGTTTTGCTATTTTTTCAAACCCAGATTGCACAACTTAACTTGGAAATCTGGTCTGGGTGCAGGGTCTGAATAGATATGTTGACTATGCAATGGTAACTAATGTAGACTTATGTAAGTATAATATAAAATATGAGATAAACATATTAGCAGTTAATTATAGTTTCAGGATAAGTTCAAGTTCATGGTGGTATGAATTTGGATTTAAAGAAGATAAGATCAATTTAGTAAATGGATTGTGATCAAGATGGCCTCCGTCTCGGAGCTGAGGTATCCTCATTTTCCACCCATCCCATAAACCGGCTGAATATAGATGTTTTTACATGTAACACATATACAATGTTCATATAAAAGGCAAGGGCTTCACCATCTTGACTTTTTTGAATCCCCTGCAGACGCCCCTAGTTCTCAATGCAATATACTGTATAATTTGCAAGTCTCAATTAGTTTGTTTCAAGAAGCCATTTAAGATTGTAATCTGCTGTAGCATAGCTTTAATACCAGCCATCAGTACCCCATTCTTTTCTGGAAATTTCATCATCCTGCTTAATGAAGTATTCTTGAAAATACAAAAGTGTATACAGAATGTTTTAGCTGGCTTAAAATTATTGACTCAATACATGTTATTGATTACATGTTCATTGTCTTTTACCTCATGGTCCACACTGCTAATTTTGCTATCTATAGATATAATCATGCTTAAAGTTATAAAATTTTGACAGAAGCCATTTCTTCAAAAGTATCTTTTCTTATTTTGTTCATCAGAACTGAAACTGTCTTATTTTATCTTTGTTTATGTGGTCACCTCAACTTTAGATTGATTGGGTTTTACTCAAAAATCTTTCTGTATATATTTGGGGATGTTTTCTCTGAATTCCTATCTTTTTATTGTGTTTAAATGTTTATACAATGTGCATGCATGTTATAAAAATAAAGTTAAGACAAATATTCCCATACTTAGAAATACATTTTGGTTGGAAGCTGCATGAAGTTGGTTATGAGATGGCAACTATATAAAAGTTTTACATAAGGAAGAGAGGGTCAAGTTATTCTCCAAAGCACCTGAAGGTAGGACAAGAAGCAATGGATAGAAACTAATCAAGGAGAAAGCCAATCTAGAACTAAGGAGAAATTTCCTGACAGTGAAGACAATCAACCAGTGGAATGGCTTGGCTCCAGAAGTTATGGGTGCTCCATCAGTGAAGATTTTTTAAAAAGAGATTGGACAATCATTTGTCTGAAATGGTAGGGTTTCCTGCTTAAGCAAGTCTCCTGCTTGAGCAGGGGGTTGAACTAGGACAGTGATGGCGAACCTCTTAGAGACTGAGTGCCCCAAACCCACCCCACCTCCCAGCCCACCCGCCCGCTCCGCCACCTGCTCCACCCCTGCTCCACCCCCAGCTCTGTCCCGCCCACTCGCAGGACCCACACCGCCTCCTTGGCCCACCGCAGATTGCCCAGGCGGCCCTGCAACGCCATGGCGGCCACGCCCTCCACCCATGCTCAGCAGCAGGATCTGGGCACATCGGGCACAAAGGCAGAATCTTGTCCCTGCTGCCTGGCTGCCATGTCCTTAGCTGGCACTGTTCTGTGCAGGCCGCACCCGGGGGCAACTCTCCAGGGGGAGGCAGAGCTGGAGCAATGGCACGTGTGCCCACAGAGAGGGCTCTAAGTGCCACCTCCGGCATGCGTGCCGTAGGTTCGCCACTACTGAACTAGGAGATCTCTAAGGTCCCTTCAACTGCATTATTCTGTAATCCTATAAATAAACAAATAAATTATTCCCCTTGAAGTGAGGTCGATGCCAGCCCTGCTAAGCCACAATCTACTTCAACAAAGTTTACTGAATGGAATTGGCTAAGATTGTACATCAGGATAAGCCACCCCAATCGCATAGCATGATATGTAAAGCTAGCCTAAGGATGAATAAGCTTGAACCCCAGTCCTATATCCAGTATTTTCAAGAGTTCAGGGGCACTCAGCTGTGTCCTCTAGCTCTTTTTGTGAGTGAAATGTTTCATTAGGGCTGGCACTGACCTGGGATTGTTTCCTAGAAAGAACATTGGCCTTTCTGAGATACACCAACCATTTTCATTCACAAACAGGCTGTGTTTGAAGGGCTCAAAGCAGTAATTACCTAGTAACCCCATTCCTGTTTCTAAATAAACCGATATCCAAGTTATGTTGCAAGTATGAAATCTTCCATTTGGGTAACCATCCTAAACTCCTTAGGGGGTGACTGTAACTAAACCTCCAAATCTCATAACAACTCTCAGGTGTGCTACATCCAACTTTTTCTCCCTGCTCTCTAATGTTCAGTGTGCAAGAGGGTTTGGGTTCAAGTCACACTGTAGCAACCCCAGCAGCCAACATAATTTAAAAGGAAAGAAAACCATATGAGAATTAAGTGACCTGATAAAACCCCATTTTATTATACTCCTAAGAATAAGATGTTTCTTTTCCAAAGATTTTTTTTTTCCAGTGATGTGAGGAGTTTACTGCAGGTCAGAAGGTTGTTGATTCCTGTGCTTATGTGAGATGTTCCTTAAAACGGAAGAGATTCTCAGTATCTTTAGAGTATTGTCAGGACTTTTCATCAGGTGGAAACCAGATTTGGGGGGGGGCGCGTTGTTTTGAAGGCTGGCTCACTCTCCCCTCCTTTTGTTTGTAGATGTCACAAGGGCCAACCAAAGGAGATAGGAAGAGCAGTTCTATTAGCGTCGCGGCTCTTTGCGTACAGTTTGGACCAAATCCATGGCTTGTTTTTTGCGCATCACTTTCTTTAATGCATTTTGTAGTTCCTTGGAGCCGATGATACAGTTGTGCTTGGCTCTCTTGCTGCACGTGGCCTTCTCAGACACATTGTTGTAGAACTTCCTTATGAAGGAGATCATTTTTCCCTTCGCTTTGGTTGATATAGGTATTCTGTCCCGATGCAGCCGACGCAAGACTTTAGAAATAAACTCATCATAAGGTCGCTTCAGACCTGACTTTTGAGGCCCACCTAGTTTTCTCACCACCATTGTTCCCTGCTTGCCTTGTTTTCTACGTTGCTTTCTGCACTTCGGCAGCAGCTTCCCTTGTGTTCTCTTCCTGCCTCTGGTCTGCTTCTTTCTCCTTGAAAATCGAGTCCTACGCCTTGGTCTGCGAGCAGCAGCCATTTCCCCTGTGTCTCCAAGTTATTTCAGTTTTTTCCACCTGAGAAAGCCACTGTGGCTTTGAGTTTGGGTTTCATTGAGCTCTAGTGCTCTTCATCCCACTGATGGTCTGCTCGGGTACTAAGAGATGCAAGTTCTGATGTAGGAAGGATGTCCAATCAGGTTCCAGCACCTCACAATGTACCTCCTGAGCTTTCTCTTTGCCAAGGGCCAACAGAAGACTTTGTGACACCTTACTTGCTCATTGGCCCTGGGCAGGATCAAGATGAAACTCAAACAGGACCATGACAAGTGTTAATCAATCTTCACAGATCATAAAGGAATGTTAATTTTTAGTTTCCAGAGCAATCCTCTAGGAATAAATAACTAAATTATTATGGTACAATGTTAGACATTTTTAAAAAGACACTCAAGTGGTAAAATATAAATGTTAAGTTTCTAAGAGGGTTGTACTTTCTATTTGAATCGAGAATGACTTGCAAGCAGAACATGAGTTTGATTACTGAATGATCGTCTTACCCTAGACTTCTTTCGAAGTTCCTGCTGCAAATTTCATTCTACTTCAGAACTGACCTAGAAATCCAAATTGCAGGCTAATACTTGAAAACAGAATAAAACATCCTTTATTTTACTGACAAGCAGCATTGTTTAATGCTGGTTTCCCTGATTCTAAGACTTCCTGAGCATATTCAATGAAAAAAGTGAAATTACTATATTTCTAAGAACATCCATGCAGCTCTGGAAAGACTGAGTGGAAAGATATTTCTATGAAAGTACCGTATTTTTCTGTATAAGACGCTGTTTTTTCCTGCAAACATCCTGTTCAAAAATCAGGTGCATCTTATAGAAGTGCAGCGTATTATACACGGAAAAATAATGGTAACCTCCGCAGCCCAGGGCATGCCCATGTGGGTTGCCATGCCGCCAGGTGCAGATGTCAAGCCCTTGTGGGCTTGCCATTAACCAGAGGGGGGAGGGGGCAAGATCGTCGGCCGGCCAAACTTTCAGATATGCCGGTTCAGCTGTTTGGCACTCTGCCGAACAGCTGATCGGCACAGTGAAACCCGCATGCCAGAGCATCTTATACAAGGATGCATCCTATAGACGGAAAAATACGATATCCCTGTACACTATACAAAGTTTTTACTTGAGTTAAACTTTGTGTGAGACCCCTCCCATCTTTGTTGTTTAGAAGAGCCGGGAAGACCTGCCTTTTTACTCCGGCCTCTGGTGTGGGAGAATAAGACCCCTTATTTCATCATGCTTGCCATCTTTTGTCTTTACTTTTTTATTTTATTCAACTTTATTTTACTGTACCGTGTTTCCCCGAAAATAAGACCTGGACTTATATATATTTTTTTTGCCTCCAAAAGAGGCAGCAAGTCTCATTTTCGGGGGATGTCTTACCCAGTTATCTTAGGACCGCCGCAGCCAGGCCTCCCATGCCCCAACACCTGCCTCACCTCGCTGGCCCATTTCTGTGGCCGCTTGCACGCATTGCCCCCAGGTTCTGTTTTGCTAGCAGAGGCTTTAGGGAAAGGCCTCTGCAGCCAAGAAACAAGCTTTGGATTGACATGCGCGTCGCCCCTGGCCTCTGCTTTGCTGGCAGAGGCCTTCAGGAAACAAGCTTCAGATTGACACGAGCTGCTCACCTCGGCCTCCATTTCATCATCAGAAAGGCCTCTGCCAGTGAAATGGAGGCCAGGGGTGCCACATGTGTCAATCCAGAGCTCGTTTCTCGGCTGCAGAAGCCTTTCCTGAAGGCCTCTGCCAGCAAAACAGAAGCAACGCATGCAAGCAGCAGCAAGCGGCCTCAAATGTGAGCCAGTGAAGCAAGGCAGGTGTCAGGGCGTGGAAGTCCTGGCTGCAACTGTCCTGAGGTAAGTGGGTGTAGGGCACATGGGGCAGGTCCACCCCCAATCCCCACCCTAGCTTGATTTTTATCTGTGCACCTTGCCCCACCCCGTGCAACCAGGTGCAATGAGTGAGCAGTGTCTTAAGTAGGGCTTATTTTGTGGGTAGGACCTATATTGGGTGCACATGTAAAAATCAAATTGGGGCTTATTTTCAGGGAAACACAGTAGAGTCATTGAGTCATGCAGCATACTTGTTTAATAAATTATTGTTTGTCACACCCAGTCAGCCAGATATTCAGACTGCATTTGGAATTTTTGTCCACCTATTGAGTCCTTCACAAGGACCTGGGATAGGCAGATATGAATGTTTGATTAAATTAAGGGTATTGTCACAGAATGTAAGCTGTTTCAAGTAAAGCTGCCTTTTGCAATTAACTGGCGGTGAAGTTGTCAATGCTGATGGTGTTCAATTGGTGGTCCAGTTGTTTTGGGTGCGTATTACTATTGGTACTTCCGTTGCTTTTTTTTTTGCCACCATCGTTCTATTTTTATTTGCAGGTCTTTGTATTTTGTTATCTTCAATAGTTCTTTCTCTTCTATTCTGCTGTTTCCAAGTAATGCCCCATCCACTATTCAGATTTTTTTGTCTTTCTTATCAACAATTATTATTATGACAAAGGAATGTTTCCACACTTCCAAAAATTACAATGAGCAGCAGAAATCATAATCTTTCTACATCTTGCTTATCATCCATCTGAAATTATGGATCTTGAAAAGGCATTGTCCCATGGCCAGATAGAGAACAAAGCTATGGGACACACATCAGTTATTTACAAGTAACATACTTACCTCAATTTATACAAGTAAAAAGAAACACGAGGCAATAAAATTGTGGAAACTTTTGGATTAAAAAATATCTGGAAATTTAGCACTGAATCTGTTTCAGATGCAAATAGTTCTTGACTTACTACTAGTTATTTGACGACCATTCAAAGTTCCTACCTTAGGGCTAGTTAAAACTTGGATTTGAATTTCCAATGGCCATCCTCCCTCCGGCCATGTGACCAAACTTTGGGTACTAGGCAACACGGCTGCATTTACAGCCGTTTGCAGCATTCATGACTACATAATTACGTTTTACAACGGTTTGGGCTAAAACTGGCACTTACGTCTGGTTTTCGGCAAAACTAAACCCATAGCAAATCATTGCTTTGCTTAACAACTACTGCAAAAAAAGATTGTAAAATTGGGTCAGATATGCAGGCTCCATTATGATCATAAGTCAGAATTCTTAAAACTAACAGTATGGAAAGAAAGTAATAAAAGTGTTCAAACTATATAGGAAAAAATCCCTGTCCATCAATCTAAGCAGTAGTTTCCCCACACAGTGAAAAGCATCTAGTCAAGCTGAATATTTGTACATATCAGCTCTGTTGTATGGCTGAGCATCTCCAGACTTCTAAAACTAGATAGAATTGTTTTGTTGCAAATGACACTGTGCAGAATGATTACAAGACAATACTTAAAGGATCCACAGATAGTCCTGAACTTACAACTTTTCATTTAGTGACAATTCAAAGTCACAACAGCACTTGTGACTTCTGACTGGTCCTCACACGACCATCACACGACCATGGTCACGTGATAAAAATCCAGGCACTTGGCAACCGGCTTGTATTCATGATAATTACATCGTTCTGGGTCATGTGATCACTGTTTGCTTCCCAGCCAGCTTCCAACAAGCAAAGTCAATAGGTGAAGCTGGAGTCACTTAGTAACTGCATGATTCACTTATCTGCAGTCATTCACTTAACAACCATAGCAAAAGAAGTGGTAAAATCTGTGCCAGCAGTGGCTGGAATGCAGTATTTCAGGCTAATTTTGCCAACTGCCAACAGTTCAATCCTGACCAGTTCAAGGTTGACTCAGCCTTCCATCCTTCTGAGGTTGGTAAACTGAGGACCCAGATTGTTGGAATATGCTCATTCTATAAACCACTTAGTGAGGGCTAAGCATTATGAAGCGGTATATAAGTCTAAATGCTAAAATCAAGTATGACTCACTTAACAACTGCCCTGCTTAGCAATGTAAGTTCTGGTGCCGGTTGTGGTTGTAAGTTGAGGACTATGAGGCAATGTTTTCCCCTAAATTGCTACTTTTCATACATGCCACCATGTATGAAAGGCTGTGAATATAAACAGTGAACTAACTCTTTGAAATGTGAGGTTCTGATACATTCATTTAAATAATGAAAGCAGAGCTTGGTGGACATATTGATAGTTACAATTGTTAAAAATAAGACCGTTATCTTGATTTCAAAAATGGATTCAGTGACTTTATACTTCAAGGCATCAAAGTTAGCCTGATTTAAAAAAAATACAGAAATATTATTTGAAGGACTAGCCTTTTTCTTCTCTTTTTTGCACCAAGACACTACCAAGAAAGTCCTAATGATTGTGGTCTTTTCCACCTGAAAGGATATTACAGTTTACACAAAGGATGTCCTTGTCAGAGCAAAGTTCCGACTTTTATGTCTTTCCTCCTTTCTAAATGATAACTTCGAGTGAGTGGCTGTCACGACTTAGTTGGAGTGTTGAAACAATCCAAACCTAGTCCAGGATGCGGAAGTTTTCACTCTGGTCGGGCTCGCGGTTGAAAACTGCCAATCGGACCCTCCGGAGGAAATGTACTTGAGCGACTGAACCTCTCCAGTGGAATAAATTAACGCTGAATTAAACGCACCCACAGCTCAATTTACCGCGGCCCTCCTTTTGCCGCTTCTTCCGATTCGCCCGCCGAGGCAGGCCACGCACAGCCCTTAACCGAGAGCTGATCCAGCCCCTTCCTGTGCCGTTGCCGTTTCCAAGCCGGGCAGCAACTGTCTCCGCTTCAGCGGTGTAGCGGCTTTTCAAGTCTATCCGGGATTTGCAACCTGATCCTCAAGGAGCTGCACGGTGGACGGACATCCTCGAGGTTGCCATAAGTGAAACCTGGGATCACTCCTGGGGACGCTCGTTTCATTCAGCGGCAAAGGAGCCACGCGCCCGCCAGGTATTTTGAAACTATCCAGAAGAGAGGAAAGCTCGCCTGGGCAGGCGCTGGAGAGTCTTGAGTCAACGTAGGATTTCCGCCTGTAAATGCATGGAAACGTGTGGAACGAAGTGGAAAGCCAAAACTGCTCGTGCATCTCCGGTTTTACTATCGTAAGAACTGCCGTCTTTTCCCTCTTTCTCTTTTTTTTTTCTCCTCCTCTACTTCTGCGCACGACTTGCTTATTCTGCAAATTCCTCTTGGAAGGCGAGACGGGAGGACTGGAATGACCGCCGAGATTTGAAACGAACAAGCGCGGAATTGGTATTCATTGCTTGTGTTAGTACCGTAGCTCTTGGTACAAGTTAAAATCTTGTCTCCTGATTAGGATCGCGAGTTTAACCACGTCGACCTTATCCCCGAGTTAAATACGCCTCTGACGGTGGAAAAAATAAAAGAATTATGGATTCAGTAGAACCTGGTCCTCCATAAATAAAAAAAACCCTCATCTCCCTGTTTATTGCAAATATCTAGTATACCTTATTTTAAGACTAACAAAAAGATTTTGAAGCTTTTCTACTATACACTGGAACATCCTTTTCAACTTCATCTTGTCTTTTGTTTTAGCTCACTCTTAATAAAAAATAATAAAAAAGAGGCCGCTGATGATTATCATTAGGCACTTCTTGAAGATTCATCTCCCTTGCAAAAAAGGAGGGTCAGATAAATTTATAGAAGTGATATTGCTGACTTTGAAAAAATATTCAATTTTGCTGCCATATCTGTCTAGCACATAACTCCAAAGGTTTCCATTTTGCTTGCTGCAAGTGAATTTTATACATACATGTGCAACCCAAAAAGGAACACGTTTTATGTACTGATATTATAAATAGTTCTCTTCCATGATCATGGAGTGCTCTTAAATCAGTTTATAAAAAATTATTACAGGGACAAAATTCCAAAATTGGGGTCTGCAATATGGAACAGAGATCTTGATGTTGATGTGTGGCCAGGAACACGGGATAACATCTTGTCCTCTTCCTCAGCTAAGGGTTGCCCACTGATCACCTTTTTCTAGGCCGTGGTGCCATCTAAAATTGTCTAATATTGGAATCACAGCTGGAATATCTACAACCCCTGAAGCAGAAGGCAGAGCTGTCCATGCTGGCCAGAGCCACTGGACCCTTCAACTATGGCTGGAGACAAATCCCACTTTGTGGGCATGTAATGTACTTATGATCCAGTGGCTGTTCTATGCGGATTCCTAATCTGCCAATCTGTCTAGTTCAGTGAGATGATGGAGCATGGACGCCAGAGCCGACAACGGGCTTCCGAGATTATTCGCAAGCAGAAACGTAAAGAACTGGATGCCCGACGCAGCAAGTGCCGAATCCGTATTGGAAGCCACCTGGAGCAGTGGTGTCAGCTCAAAGAGCAGCTGGGTTTTTCTCTCCATTCCCAGCTGGCCAAATACCTGCTTGACAGGTGAGATTTTGTGCGCAATGACTATTTCTATCTCTGTTAGTTTTGTCCAAATATGAAGTAAACATTCAACATTAGACTGTATGAATTTAAGTGAAGGGCTGTGTGACAGGTCTCATGCTACTTTAATGGGAGGTTGAACTGCTTGATTTTGGACAAATGTTGCAACCTTTCTGCTATTTTAGAGGAAGAGAATATCAAGCTGAGATTTCACAGTGTAGAAAATAAAATGGCATGTTAATAAGCATGCTTACCTCCTTCTCACAAGAGATTTCGCTCCCATCATCAGCTACTGTACTCCCATCATCATTTTGGGTTATTCTAATGCCTTTCTCCCTATTCTTATTTTGGCCCAATCTTTAATTGGCCAGGAGAACCTTAAAAGAGAAGCTGGCAGAAACAGTAGAAAATGTTTGGTGTAGTGCAGTGTTTCCTAAACTTGGCAGCTGTCAGATAAATGGACTTCAACTCCCAGAATTCCACAGGTAGTATAGTCACTCCTCAGAATTCTGACAATTGAAGTCCATACCCATGGAAGTTCCACATTTGAGAAGGTTCTGATCCTGCTCTTTTTATTATTAAAATTATCTTGTATGCTGGATGCCGCTTACAGATTATTCTTGCTCATGTGCGAGCACAATTTAGTCTGTCTGCTCACTCTACCTCTTATCTTTCTTTTGTAGGTACAGTTCACATGCCTCAGTATTGAAAACAGGTAAACACCCTTACAGGTTATCTATCGTCTAGGTTAGAAGAGGCTTATACTGGTGGTCCTTGGCTTACGACTGCAATTGAGCCCAAAATTTACGTTATTAAGCGAGAGAGTTGTTAAGCGAGTTTTGCTCCATTTTACGCCCTTTCTTGCCAGAATTTTTAAAAGAATCACTGCAGTTGTTAAGTTAGTAACACGGCTGTTAAGTGAATCTGGCTTCTCCATTGCATGTCAGAAGGTCACAGAAGGGGATCACATGATCCCAGGACACTGCGGCTGTCGTAAATAGTTGCCAAACCTCTGAAATTTGATCACGTGACCATGGAGAGAGTGCAACGGTCATAAGTGAAAAATGGTCATTAGTCACTTTTTTCAGTGCTATTGTAACATCAAATAGTCACTGAATGTTATAAGTCAAGGACTACCTGTAATTATATAGACCCTTGAAGTGAAATTCAGTTTCTCCTTTTGAGATGCTGGGCTGCATTAACAGAGGGATAGAATCAAGATCACGTGAAGTATTAATACCACTTTACAATGCCTTGGTAAGGCCACACTTGGAATACTGCATCCAGCTTTGGTCACCGCAATGTAAAAAAGATGTCAAAACTCTAGAAAGAGTACAGAGAAGAGCAACAAAGATGATTAGGGGACTGGAGGCTAAAGCATATAAAGAATGGCTGCTGGAATTGGGTATGTCTAGTTTAATGAAGAGAAGGACGAGGGGGGACATGATAGCAGTGTTCCAGTATCTCAGGGGCTGCCACAAAGAAGAGGGGGCCAAGCTATTCTCCAAAGCCCCTGAAGGCAGGACAAGAAGCAACGGATGGAAACTAACCAAAGAGAGAAGCAACCTAGAACTAAGGAGAAACTTGCTGACAGAACAATTAACCAGTGGAACAACCTGCCTCCAGAAGCAGTGAATGCTCCAACACGGGAAGTTTTTAAGAAGAGACTGGACAGCCATTTGTTTGAAATGATATAGGGTTTCCTATATCGGGGTTGGACTAGATGACCTCCAAGATCCCTTCCAACATTATTATAGGGTTGAGAACTTGGAGTGGGGAATTTCACACTGAAGTTTTGCTTCCCTGTTAAAGCCGAGTCTCTTTTCTTCTCTCCTCCTTTCTTCAGGATCAGACAGCTTCAGTGCTGAGCCCATCGCTTTTCCTTCTGAGGCATTGCAGCATCTGGTTGTCCTTTCTCACAACCACAGCCAGGAATGTGCTTTCATCCCCAATGTGAAGCCTGCTTTGCTGGAGCAGGAGACAGTCTGCAGCCAGCTGGAATGGGAGTGTCTAGCTGGCCATACTTTTGCCTGGAGTCCCCCTGCCTCAAACATCAGCCTGCCACCCTTTGGCCAAAAAGCCTCTAGTGACAGGCAAGAGCAAGAGGAGGAAGCAATCACTTCCAAGCTCAGCCCCCCACCCTCCCCGGTCATCAGATGCCGGCGCTCCCTTCGCAAGGCAGCAGCAGCCCATGCCATTTCGTTAGCACTTGCTTCCAGCTCGCCCTGTCCTGTGGACGAGCCGGAGTCGTCTTCCCAAGAAGATGAGGAATGTGGTATGGACAGAGAGAGGACCACATGTAGGTCTCCTGCCAATGGCACAGGTCTGGACAAGGAGACAGAATTATTGTGCAATACAAACTCGGATGAGACAGGTGAGGGGGAGAGGCTGGAGGAGCCATGGATAGAATTGGGAGGGCAAAGGTGGCAAATTGGTAGGATATGCAAAACACTTGGGGGGGGGTGAGAGGCTATGGGGCAGAAGTGGGCCAGGGTAGGGTTTTTCTTGTGGGCTATCTGGATTGTGGCTAGAAGTTTATTTCAAGTTTTTGAGCCTTGATATATTTCAAGGTTTTGAGCCTGTCAATAACACTTTTACTATGTATCTGGTAATCCTGAATAATCTTAGTCCAAAATTCTAAGAAAGAAAAAACTCGGCAAAATAGCAATGAGGAAGCTAGATCTTTCTCCTTCCCTCACTAAAATTAATTTTACAATAATGAGGGCAAGGGAACGTACATTTTGCAAAAGAAAGGCAGCCTGAAGATGGAAGTGAGATATATTGAAACCAGAAGGAATGTCACTGCTCTTGAATAAAAAAAACAAATAAATGAACTTACAGGTAAAACTAACCTGTCAAGGCTTACTAGCCTCACTCACCAAAATATATATTCTGGGGGAACAAGAAAGAAAGGGAGTCCTTTGTAGTTTTCAAAAACACCTGTCTGATCCCCTGAATGAGACTCTAACCAGGCAAGAGACTATTAAAAGCGAACCAAGTAGAGGCCTATATTTTTTAAAAAAGAAATAAACATGATCTGGGGAAATGGTCTTGGGAGTGATTTATGTCTACCGTTGAGCTTCAGGGTCCAGAGTCCTTTTAAATGGCTACCTTAAAAAGTCTTGCTGATCCACGTCTCTCAATCCGACACTGCCATGTTTTCTCTTGCAGCAGCTGTAACAGATGAGATTCCAGGTAGCACCGAAGTTCCAAGGCCTGAAAGGTACATTTCTTCTCTCGTGCCATCATAGCAGGGTCCAAACGGACCTTGCTTGCTACGTACTGAGGGCAAATGGCTTTCAGATTCACTTGATTGATGGTATCTTTTGTTAACAGTGACATTTGTCAAAGAAACCTGGTGCAAAAGACAGCTTGGAAAGTCATTGAGGAAAATAATGATCCCAGAGATTTGTTCTGAGCCTCAGTAGTGAAGGGAGATCACCATTTTATACTAAAATCTATTCCTGGTTTTCCTGTGTGTGTGTGTGTATGCGCGCGCATGTGTTGGGCTGGTAGAATAAATTCCTGAAATTTTCTGATGTCCTTAAATTATTGGGGTTTGGGCATTTTTAATGATTGATGAAGTGGCTATGTGCTATCTAATTGATATCAGCTTTTAGCGACCACATACATAGACCTTTCCAGAATGATCTGTCCTCAGCCTGATTTTTCAGAAAGTCCAGGCATTCATTACTACAGTAATCAATAAGCCGATATGTCCAACCTCAGTTTGGACATCTTTTTTTCCTTGTTTTACTGTGCTTAATTCCATCTTCTATGTCTACAGATGTTGTTGTAATATGGTTTCATGCCTCTTCTAACAGCAATATAAAATTCTTTCAATTTTTTTAATGAGATCTTTATTTTCTTGGTTTGGACATCTTTTCTCGGCAATTTCCACCATTTGTTCTGACACACAGTGTTCTTATTTGGTCACTGACTGCACTGCTGTATCCTCCCTGCCTCTGAAAGCTATGCCAGGCCTTCTTTGGTTTCAAGCCCTGAGTGACAAGCAGTGTAATTTTCTGACTGAAAGTGTCCAATTCTGGTCCATTTCAATCTGCTGGTGTCAATCTATAGTCAATTTGTTTCAGTGTTCACTTCATTGAGCTTTTCCATGTTCATGGTTCTTTTGTTCCATATGCTCACCATTAACTCTCTTTGCAACTTCAGATTTTCTTTTTTTGTACAGCAACATCTGCAACTAGATGTCCTGAAGGCTTTAATCTAGCCCAGGGGTAGGCAACCTTGGCTCTTTTGTGATGTGTGGACTTCAACTCCCAGAATTCCTGAGCCAGCCATGCTGAGGGGAAAGGGAGAGGTTTCCAAGCTGAGCCATGCTGGCTCAGGAATTCTGGGAGTTGAAGTCCACGAGTCCTAAAAGAGCCAAGGTTGCCTACCCCTGGGCTAGTCACATCATAAATACCATTAGTACTTAGAAAGATATACTGAGTGCCGTCTGACCTGAGAGACCCATCATCAATCATGTTATCTTGCTGCCATGTGATTTTCTTTGTAGAACACCATTGCCTTCTCCCACGCAGTACCACCTTATGCCAGGGGTGTCAAATTCGCCACGTCACATGATGTGCCGCAACATATCGCGACTTTTTTCCCATTGCCAGAGCTGGGGTGGGTGCAGTTTCGGCATGACGCATCTGGCCCGTGGGCCGGCAGTTTGACACCCCTGCCTTATGCCATTGTCACTAAAGTGATCATCTGCCTGCTGCATTTTATCATATTATAACTTCCTATACAGGTAGTCCTCGCCTTACAACAGTTCATTTAGTGACCATTCGAAGTTACAGCGGCACTAAAAAAAGTGACTTGTGACCATTTTTCACCCTTATGACTGTGGCGACAGCATCCCCCTAGTCACGTGATTTACATTTGGATGCTTGACAGCTGATTCACGTTTATGACGGTCGCGGTATCCTGGGATCATGTGATCACCTTTTGCTACCTTCTGATAAGCAAAGAGAATGGGGAAGCCAGATTCACTTAACAACCGTGTTACTAATTTAACAACTTCAGTGACTCACTTAACAATTGTGGCAAGAAAAGTCATAAAATGGGCCAAAACTCACTTAACAACATAAATTTTGAGCTCAATTGGGGTCGTAAGTTGAGGACTACCTGTCTTGCTTGTTTTACCTGGAAGCTAGGATGACCTTCATGTCTTGAATAATCCTGCGGAGAATATATTCTTTCGGCAAATAGTCTCAGTGTTCTTTGTTCATCCTTCCAAAAACGCACACAGACCCACCACCCCTTGCCATAAGGAGGCAGCATAGCAGGATTTCAGTTCTCCCAGATTTTCCACACACACCCCATTTACCATCAACAGGAGAAGGTAGGAGTGCAACTAATTTAATAACTCTTAATTGCTAGTGCAAGAAATCAGAACTACTCCTCCAGCATTGTGCTTGCAGCATCTCTGACCAGCTGCACAGAGGAATTCCAGATTTAGTTTTTAACTCAGACTTTCCAAATTTCTTGTTCTCTAGATATTCCAGAAAGTTCAGCAGTGACAACATATTGGCAGAGGAATTCTGGGAGTTGAAGTCCATATATCTGAAGGAAGACCACTAGGGGAAAGCTGCTTCAGATCTCTTAATTAAAATAGTGTGAGGCTTGACTTGACTTACAACTCCTACCATTCTTGATCAATAGCCACATCAGCTGAAAAAGGAGGAATGTACCAAACTAAACAAGCCAAGATTAATCCAGAACAGTGGTTCTCAACCTTTCTAATGCCGTGACCCCCCAACCGGTCGTAAGTCGAGGACTACTCAACCGGTCGTAAGTCGAGGACTACTCAACTGGTGCAGCACCGTTTGCAGAATGGGACTTTTGGCGGGCTCAGCAGGGCAGAGACAGCCTGGACAATTCCTATTGGCTTTTGAAAGCCAATAGAATTAGACTCTATTCAAGAGAGTCTATTCTATTGGCTTTCAAAAGCCAATAGAATAAAAGGGAGTAGCACAGCTAAGGAAAAGGGGGAAAAAATGGTGGACTGCGTTGTTTGGCAACCCCCGTGAAATGGTCGTTCGACCCCAAATGGGGTCCCGACCCACAGGTTGAGAACCACTGATCCAGGATGAAGGATCTTTGTGGACTGAATCTTGGCCTTTCGTTTTTTTGTACTTTCTTTAGGATTTTAACCCTACCAGGGGAGACACCAGAATCAGTGTCTGGTCCACCAGAGGAGGAAGAAGCAGAAGATTTCACAGAGGAGGATAATATGATGTACATGGATGACCTGCGAGATGAAAATTATCAGCCTTCCTTGGATAGGTAATGAAATTAGAAGATTTTAAATTCAGCAGAGTCCAGTTCAGTATGGATAATGAGAGATCAACAAGGAAGTATTTTCTGTAATCATTTGTATACCACTTCACATGCAACTCCTACCAGGTGACATATGGAATAAAAGGGTTCTTCCCAGTCTTAGCAACCTAATGGCATGTGGACTTCAACTCCCAGAATTCTTGGAGGCAATGTCCACATATCTTAAAGTTGTCAAGGTTGGGAAACATTGGAAGAGAACACCTCAAATGAACCCTCAAGCTAGGTGATTTTAACAATACACACTGTACCAGTTAAAATTAAATAAATCAATAGCAAGGCAGAAAGTGGCTTAGCATTGCCTGCATTTGGGATATTTCACAACTTCCCATTTTATTTACACTCCTGAAGTTTCTTGATAGACTTCTATCCAAATATAACCAGGTGTTTCAAAAATAGTCAAGATCAAATTGGTACTGTCATCCTATAGCAGTGTTTCTCAACCTTGACAATTTTAAGGCATGTGGACTTCAACTCCCAGAATTCCACAGCCAGCAACGCTGGCTGTGGAATTCTGGGAGTTGAAGTCCACATGCCTTAAAATTGTCAAGGTTGAGAAACGCTGTCCTATAGGAAATCCTTTGACACTTACCTGGAATATAACAGGGTTACGATAAGACACTTGCATTACAAATGTCATTGGAGTCAAATAGTTATCTGAAATGCTCTGGATGTGTGTCTTTTCAGTTGTTAGGCACTAAAGATGGCCCTAATACTACTACTTTATACTTATACTTTATGCTGCAACATTTTTTTCAGATTAAGGACTCTGTGGCCCTTTATAGCATAACCATTACACCAAACTGACTCTTAAAAATATAATTATACTTTTCAACACAATATGATTACCTTTCACATAGTTAATAGTTTTCTACCATTATTGTCTTAAGAATTATAGTGTGGTATCAAGGAAAAGTCTGGGCTATAACCAAAGCATTTAGAACCATGTTCTGTCCTAAGGTTCAGGTTTTGCACCTCTGTCTTAAAGAATAGAGTACCCTAAAAGTAGAAATGCAGACTAGTCTACAGTATGGTTTAACCCATCCAGGGTTAAACCTAAAAAGGTTTAATCAGTTCCTTCATTTTTCTATCAGCTCTCCAGGCATTTCCTTTCCCCATATTTGTCAGCCCAAAACCTTGTGTAGAAATGTTTGTTTTTATTATTGACTGATTTGAGTCATTGATTGATTCTATGTTTTTTATTGCCATTTTAGCCCAGTTTTCATGAAAAGCAATCCCAATCTCTCTTTCTAGCTGCAAGAAGCAGGTACAGCCAGGAGATGAAGATATGTCCCAAATTGGTCCTAAGAGAATCAGGTAAGTTCAGGTCCATGGTTGCTCATGATATCCTCAGCCTATGTGGACCAAAAGAAAAAGGAAACCTTATAGGGAAGTTTAGGTAGGTTGGTTAAAGCTGCAAGACTCGCAGAGATTACCGGCTTGCCTATTTATTGCCTCTCTATTTATCTATTTATCCATCCATCCATCCATCCTGCTTGCAAACTGCAATTTATATGCTGCTTAGTCCAACAAGCTCAAAGCAGCATACAACAATGAAAATAATGCATCATTAAATTAAAAAAACATCATTAGCAATAGCACTTAGACTTCTATACCGCTTCATAGTGCTTCACAGCCCTCTCTAAGTGGTTTACAAAGGCAGCATATTGCCTCCAACAATTTGGGTCTTCATTTTACTGACCTTGGAAAGATGGAAGGCTGAGTCCACCTTGAACCGGTCAAGCTCAAACTACTGGCAGTTGGCAGAGTTAGCCTGCAATACTGCATTCTAACCATTGCACTACCGAGGCTCTTGCTCATTAGAAAAAGAAGGAGCAGCTGGACCCCAAGGAACAGCTACAGCATTCAAAGAGGGAGAAGAGCAGCTAGCAAGGCTCACCATAGCTTTTCAGGATTAGCAAAGCCAGAAATTATAAAAAAAAATCATATGCATGAAACCTTTATCTGATAATCAAAAAGTTATTAAAAACCTAATGGATTGTTTTGATTACCTTTTCTTTGGAATCATGGAGACTTCAAGAGTTACAGACGTATTTTGGGAAAAGCTGCTTCCCCAAAACTGTTAATTAATCTATTTTTCTATCAGATGAATTGGATTAAAATCACACTGGTTGCAATTTAAGTCAAATTATTTTTGACCCATCAAGATCTCTAAACAATCCAGGTTTGTTTACTTTGAGGTGGGAGAGATGTCTATAAAATACTTCTGTATGTTGACCTAGAGTACCCAAAAATTGTGTTAGATCAGGGGTCTGCAAACCTGGCCACTTTAAGACTTGTGGACTTCAACTCCCAGAATTCCCCAGCCACCCATGCTGGCTGGGGAATTCTGGGAGTGGAAGTCCATAAGTCTTAAAGTGGCCAAGTTTGAAGACCCCTATTTTAGATAGTTCTATAAATCGGTTGTGTATCTTCAGCCTGGAGATTTGATATGTTTCCTCTTCCTTTTGGCTTTCCTGTCTGTTCTGTTTTTGCCTTTCTTCACAGGAAGGCAGCCAAGCGAGAGATTCTCCTTTGTGACTATGATGGTTGTGGGAAGATTTTCTCCAATCGCCAATACTTGAATGTAAGTGAAGGAGGACCAGCAGTGGCCACCAGTCTCTTGGGTTGCATACAAGTGACTGACAAAACTTCTATCTTTCATTTAAATTTTCCCAAGTGTCAGTACTTTAGAGTCAAGCAACAGGGTGACGCTTTCTATAAGGCCCTGTTTGTTGGCATCTGGTTGGACCAGAAGCACCGAAGTTAATAGAAAACTACAAATCTTAGATTTTATACCAGAAAAGGTTCCCCCCTTTACTTTAGAACAGGGGTGTCAAACTCAATTTCATTGAGGGCCGCATCAGCATTGCGGTTGCCCTGGGGTGTGTGTGGCTAAAGTGGGTGCAGCCTAATGAGTGGGCGTGGATGGAGTGGGTGTGGCCTGCTGGGTGGGCGTGGCCAGGTCTACATCATTCGCGTCAAGGGTGCCTATGGGGGTCTGGACAGGAGTGGGACAGATCTGAGGGTCTCTGGCAGAAGGGGGTGGGACTGGGCAAGTGCCAAGGCATGGTCCACTGGGGCAAGTGCCAAGATGACCACCAGAAAATTGTACATTGGCTCCCGGCTGGCCTAGACCAGGGCCAAGGCAGCGGGGGCCGTTCCCTCACTGTTTCCAGGATGGCTTTGCGGGCCACATGAAACCACTTTGCGGACCGCATCCAGCCCCCGGGCCTTGAGTTTGACATGTCTGCTTTAGAAGCATCATCCAGAGAAATAGAAGGGATGCAAGGTCCAGCTACTACAGAATCTCATCATTGCGTACCCCTTATGTTACTAAAAAAAAATCTTCCTTTGGATTATCTAAGCCAGCGGTTCTCACCCTGTGATTCGCACATCCCTGGGAGCCATGATGTCGTTACAGGGGGTCCACAAAGGCTTGAAGAAATGTTATGATTTAAATCTTGAGTGAAGTCTTGGGGGTCTGTGGTGAAGAAAAGGTTGAGAACCACTGATCTAAGCTAAGGAGCGATACAGATTTTAGAGCCTGATATTCTCTCTCTGGGTTATTTTTTTCCTCATCTTCCAGCACCACAAGAAATACCAGCATGTTCACCAAAAGACCTTTACCTGCTCTGATCCCGGCTGCGGCAAATCCTTCAACTTCAAGAAACATCTCAAAGAACATGAGAAACTGCACAGTGGTGAGAGAGTCTAACAATATGCTTTTGTTCCATTTGGTGCCTGCTAAACGTTTTGAGCCACAACTTTCATTGTCCTGGCAGTCTGTCTAACCCAGGGGTGTCAAAATTGCCGGCCCACAGGCCAGATGCGTCACGAGGAAACCGCACCCACCCCATTGCCGGCAATGGGGAAAAAGTTCCGATACGTTCCGTGACGTCACGTGACGTCGCGAGTTTGACATGTCTGGTCTAACCAATGGTCAAGGCATTCTGAGAGTTGTGCTCCTGAGCACATAGAGAGCACCAGATTGTCCTTTCACCAGTGATAATGTTGGATGTTGATAGGTTCCCATTCTTTCCAGACAGAAAAGTTGTTTAATGGCCTTTGACAGGTTGTCATACCTTATAAAACAATTTAATGATACAAAAGGCCACTGGGTGACAAAAAGGAATTATCCTGGAAAATTTTCAGGAGAGAAGAGGTTAAAACAGGCCATAATTATGAATCATCTGTCCTTCAGCCTCTGATGAGAAGCCAGTGGTTGTGGGGACAAGACCATCACATTAGTCCCTCACATGAATGATTTTGGGTGATAAAGCATGTCATGCGACTGTAGTAATTGTATTTGGTTATTCTGGTCTGTGATTTAGCATGTCGTGCAACCTCTGCAAAAAAATAGTAATAATAATAATATCCAGCAATTCTGCTGCACTTCTAAAACTAACATGGTATATTCATTTGGAGAGAATCCCCTGTTTATAATCCAAAGTTGATTTTATTTTTTCATAGTGGAAAGCTACAAGTTCCTTTTCAAGAGCTGATCAGAAAATACCCACAAAAGACATGGTGCTACCAGTGTTTCCCAAACTTGACAATTTTAAGGCATGAGGACTGTGGAATTCTGGGAGTTGAAGTCCACATGCCTTAAAATTGTCAAGTTTGGGAAACACTGTGCTACACCAAAAGAAATCATTAGATACATCAAATCTTACCAACAAAGGCAAAACCCACACCAGGAACAGATACAGAACATCCCCTTTAGATTCACCCCACTGCCACTTTTTCCTGCCAATCCTTACTTCTCTTGTCCTCTTATTTGACTCAAACTCAAGTTATCTTTCCATGAGAAAAAATCAAACTCATGGAGCAACTTGGGTTGAGCACTAGAGAGCTGGTTGGTGTGATTTTGCATTGTTTTTTTTTCTGTGCAAATTGTCAATTATTTGTTAATTAAGTTTCTTGTGACCTGTTTAAAAATCAGGTTTCATTATGATGTGGTCCTGTCCTCAGCATAGAAATCGGATTCAGGAACTAAGTTGGATAACTTCTGAGCTTGGAATAAAAAGGGAAAAGAGAAGGCCATAAAAAAACATTTTGGATCAACCCTAAGTGTAGTATTGGGGGGAGGGGAAAGATTTATAGATTGCCCATATCTATAATGAAGGCTGTGCCTTTAGGATCAGGCTGGCCAGTGACTTATTGTGCCCTTACTTGCAGATAAAAGGGACTATATATGTGAATTCTGCGCCCGCTCCTTCCGAACGAGCAGTAATTTGATTATCCACAGGCGGATCCACACTGGAGAAAAACCCCTACAGTGAGTATGCCCCACAAGGCAGAAATGAGTAAGCACAATCGGAGGGCTCTGCTGGATCAAGATCATCAAATCCAGCATCCTTCTTCTCACAATCAACAACTGAGAAGCCTTCCCAGTAAGGCAGGGGTTCTCAACCTTGGCAACTTTAAGACTTGTGGACTTCAACTCCCAGAATTCCTCAGCCAGCAAAGCTGGCTGAGGAATTCTGGGAGTTGAAGTCCACAAGTCTTAAAGTTGTCAAGGTTGAGAACCCCTGCAGTAAGGCATAAAGCAGGGTGTTTTGTCAATCCCACTTTGTGTGAGGTAACCTGGGTAATCTCACATTGTATTGATTTTCTACCCTGCTTCACCAACAACTTGGTCATTCAGCCAGAGGCAGCAAAAGAATTGCCCAGCCCTGTTGTACAAAAACGACCCTTCCCTTTGGTGAGGAGGGTCATTGGGAGAGTCAAGGCTGGATTTGTATCACCTATTTCCAGCGGCCCTCTTTCCTCTTTGGTGAATCTCCCCCTTCCTTTTCACCTAGGTGTGAGATCTGTGGTTTTACCTGCCGCCAAAAAGCGTCCTTGAACTGGCACATGAAGAAGCATGATGCCGACTCCTTCTACCAGTTCTCCTGCGACCTTTGTGGCAAGAAGTTTGAGAAGAAGGACAACGTCACTGCGCACAAGAGCAAGAGCCATCCCGAGGGGGCCACCGGGCCTCTCCCGCCAGCACAGGAGCCGCCCCCTCCGAGCTCTCCACTTGCAGCAGAGCCAATGGCAAACCCGGTTCAGACTCAGCAGTGTGACATAGGGAAAGGGGTGGAGCCTCCTGCCCTTGCAATTACCGTCATCATTGAATAATGGACCGAGCAGAAGGAGGAAAAGCAACAGTGGAGAGAATTCCCGACATCTCCTGCAGGTGGATTGCATTACGTCAGCAGATTACAAAATCAGCAAAGACACATGGGCCCCAGCCTCTAAAACAAGATCCCACCAATCGCAGTCTTTCACTCGGCTCCTCTGGGCTCAGTTCTGGAATAAAAGGACAATCTTGGGGTTCTGCCTCGCCTGGTTCCAGGATGTCTAGTGGTGGGGCATGTCATCCCGAGAGCCAGTTTGGTGTGTTTTCCTTCCATCTATGGGTGAACCAAAGTACACTGGCCTAATTCGTTCTGTCTGCATAGCTGCTGTCTGCTTTCTCGAATGAGGCTGGTGAATGGTGCTGTCCTAACTGTTTACTGCAGGGCAAGTTAAGCTGCAAGAATTGGTGGATTTCTCAGCCGGTGGGAAAAGCATTGGCTGTGTTAATTATACCCTTTAACGTAGGATGGTACTAGAAGGGGCAGGAGACCAGCTTGGACAAATGGGTATAGCAGTGAGTTTAGCCATCTATCCGAACTTCGATTCTAGAGGTCTTAAGTCAATCTGTTTGTCAGACAGTAGCAGAGCCATCTCCATGTCTGGATATTTGTTTTACATAGTCTGACAGGTGAGCTGCTCCCCAAAGTCCTCTGGTCAGTAGATTTGAGAGTCTGTATGGTGACTTACCTGTCAGAATTCTAAAAATAAACATCCTGGCCTGGAGGCCATTGCAACATCTCTCAGAAGGATATGGGTGTGGTGGCATTTGCTTCTCCCCAGATCTGGTCAGTAGTTTGGTCCTGTCATCATGTCAATTGACTAGCACAAAATGAAATGGCCATGGAGGGATGTTGGCAGGGAAAGAGATATGTCACAGCAACCAAAAATCAGTCAACAGGAGCAGGGGACACAAAGTGTGACATTGAAGCAAGGTTCAGAGATGAGAACAAAGCTGCATCACCCAGTCTGGTCAAAGAGGAGGAATATCTCTTTGAGCCAAAGTAGGGAATGTTGGTGGATATGTCTGTAGCCCAATCAGAATCTTTCTGTTGTAAATGGCTACTAAACCTTTATGTAGATTGTGAGTGTAGCGGGAGGGGCTAAGGCAGGGATAGCTCAGCTCAAGCATGGGTGGCTCAGGAATTCTGGGAGTTGAAGTCCACGAGTCATAAAAGAGCCAAGGTTGCCTACCCCTGGGCTAAGGAGACATGGGGAACAGCTAACTGACATAAACACAGGTGCAGTCCCGACTTTACCTGGCCTGGTCAGGCAGTGATCATGGAAGATATGAAGGGATCTGCTGTAGCTTTTAGGAACTACTTTGCAGTCTGCATAAATGATGCAATTTTTATATACAGGGCAATGTAGATATGCATATTTTATGCCATTATGTTTTGCTAACCACAGTGATTGACTTTGCAAGGGGCAAAATACGTGTTGAGTATTTAAGTCTTAGCCCCAGCTACTTGAAATGGTGGGTATGAACTTCTGACAACCACATAGCATTGTTCACAAACATTGAAGCTTAAAATCGTCAGGATTTTATGGCTGTATAAAAAAGGTTACAAGGGATTTTTTTAATGTACTTTTTAAGTGGAAATGGAGTTTCTTGGAAGGCCGTATTCCACTGACAATTTCATACGCTACTATTTTTCTATTTGTATGTCACTATTAAATGCACATTATTCTGATTAACTTTCCACTCCTATCTAGCCGGCCCAGATTTTAAATTGTAATAACAGCCATTCATAGGAATAGTTTTTGCTGTTGTGCTCCACAGAGCCAGAAAGATGTGTCATATTTGCCAAGCAGAGCTGCACTTCCCTGCTTCACCCTCTGGAAACAGGATGTTGCAATTCAGAATTTTTTTAAGTCAAACCAGGAGCCAGAAAAATAGTTTACAAGTCAAAAATGGAGGGACGGAAGCTGCAATTTAAAGATGTAATCTAGCATTTGTGCCAACCTTGATTCTTCCTTCCCGATAAAGTGTATTTTTGGACTGTTTATGCCTCATCAGCCTCAATTCCTACCTGTTTTGGATATTCGTACCCCAAGGTTTAGGGTGAAGTCAGCTTCCAGTACATGGAACTTTGCCATCAAAAGATGAATAAGAATTGTATTGAGTTGTGATAATTGAAAGACAGCTTTCTTCATACTCTCAGGATTATATAAACACTGAAAAGCAAAACATTTTGTGATGAGGACTTCAAGTTTAACCCTTGAATAACACGGGATCTAGATTTCTCCTTTTTCAGGAGACCCAGAAGACATGTATACTAGGCTTAGGAAAGCTCATATGTCCAATATATTACTCCTTTGACTCATTTCTAGGATGTTGAGAGAAATATATGTATTAAAAGGCTGTGGTTGGAGGGCTGTGAGCATTCCTCATGTAATGGTGCCATCTCTGCAGCATTTACCTCTCCTGTCATTAAAGAAATACTTCTGCTGCTTCTCTGCATGAGGTCCTACTCTGTCTCGTTTGGAGTGTTAAGAGGGAGTGATTCCTCACAGTCACATTTTTCTTAAAATAAAAAACCTCGGCATTCATGACTTTAGGAAATGAGTTTGGGAAATGCTCCAGTGTATCTATAAGTGCAGTGTTTTAATTTCATAAAGTTTTGGACAGTTATGCCCAGTTTTATGTCAAGCCATGCCAAACACAGCCATACTGGAGTCCTAGAAATGTAGAGATTTAAATCCAAGGAATTTTCTTACCTGGCAGCTAAAGTGAGACTTCACACCAAGAGTTCTCAGTCCATACAGTTGTGTTCTATATGTTTCGGGAAACAAATAAATGATCAGAGGGTTAAAACCAAATTTACTGAATCTGTTTTATTTTGACAAACTTCAGTTTAGCTTTCTGTGGCTGCTTCCCTTGGAGATTTCAGACACTGCATAAGTATTATGTCTTATAACCTAGTGAAGATTTCAAAGTTGTGTTGTTTGATAAGAAGACTGACGTTCTTAGGGAATTGAATTTAGCTGTTTACATTCCAAGATTTTTCTTCATTTACACCAGTGGTTCTCAACCTGTGGGTCGGGACCCCATTTGGGGTCGGATGACCATTTCACGGGGGTCGCCAAACAATGCAGTCCGCCATTTTTTTCCCCTTTTCCTTAGCTGTGCTACTCCCTTTTATTCTATTGGCTTTTGAAAGCCAATAGAATAGACTCTCTTGAATAGAGTCTAATTCTATTGGCTTTCAAAAGCCAATAGGAATTGTCCAGGCTGTCTCTGCCCTGCTGAGCCGCCAAAAGTCCCATTCTGCAAACGATGCTGCACCAGTTGAGTAGTCCTCGACTTACGACCGGTTGAGTAGTCCTCGACTTACGACCAGTTGGGGGTCGCAGCATTAAAAAGGTTGAGAACCACTGATTTACACGGAGGTGGAACAAATGCTAAAAGTTCTGAATGTCTAAATTTTGCAATGCCAAAAGGCGATGGTTGCTGTGGTTTTGATTTCTTTTGGAGATGGATATGAAATCTTTTAAGTTTGATGGAAGGTTGGAAAAAAATAAATGAATCTTCCCCTATAAGAATGAAGCAAAACAGTGAGAGATACTTGCAAATAAACTAATGATCGAAATCCCTGTTTAGTTACCTACTGGTCTTAAGTGTATGTCTGGTATTAAATCACTATATATGTTTATTTATCTTAAGAATTAAAGGAAAAGAATAAAAAAATGAAAAAATATAATTAGTCATATGTCACATAATAACCACATTTTGACATGCAACTATTTTTTTTTCAGTGATCTCCAGGCCAGGAAAACTGAGACATAAAATATGGTTCTTAAAAAGGAGGTCCTTTGCCAACTTTACAATGCAAGCCTCCATAGCTGCATTAACACAGTGTTTTAGCTGGGTTCATACATAGTACTAAGACAAAATCCGACATATTTGCTTCTGACGTTTTTTTCCTTGAATCCAATCCTTGTGGTTTGTAAACTCTCAGCTTATACAGCTTAAACTGTACTGTAAAGTTGATGATAACTTTTGGCAGCCATATAGATCAGAGGTGTCAAACTGCCTGGAATGCATCATAGCAAAACCGCGCCCAGCCCATTGCCGGTAATGACAAAAAAAGTTGCGATACGTCGTGACACATCACGTGAGGTTGCGAGTTTGACACCCCTGGTATAGATACATCTTTTCCAGGATGATCTGTGTCCTTTTTTTCTTTCCCTCTATTAGCTTCTTCAAAAAGCTAAGTCTTCATATAATGAGTTCCTTAAAGCTTTGAATATTCTAGATCAGGGGTGTCAAACTCAATTTCATTGAGGGCTGCATCAGCATTGTGATTGCCCTCAGGGGGCTGGGTGGGTGTGGCCAGGGTGGGTGCAGCCTACTGGGTGGGTGTGGATGGAGTGGGTGTGGCCAGCTCTACATCGTTCATGTCAAGGGTGCCTGTGGGGGCCTGGGCAGGAGTGGGACAGATCTGAGGGTCTCTGGCAGAAGAGGGGTGGGACCAGGGCAAGTGCCAAAGCATGGTCCACTGGAGGAGCCTCACTGTTCCTCAGGCCATGCGGGGGGGGGCTTATGGAGCTAAGACTGAATGCGTTTCAGCATAGATCGCCACCACAAAATTGTACATTGGCTCCCAGCTGGCTTGGGCCAGGGCCAAGGCAGAGGGGGCCGTTCCCTCAGTTTCCAGGATGGCTTCGTGGGCCACATCTGGCCTCTGGGCCTTGTGTTTGACATGTCTGTTCTAGATAGATATGATTTTTCTTTGTTCATTTTCTTGGCTATTCTTGGGAATCTTCTCCAACATTATGTAGAGTAGAGTAGAGTAGAATAGAATAGAATAGAATAGAATAGAATAGAATAGAATAGAATAGAATAGAATAGAATAGAATACAATACAATACAATAGAATAGGAAGGGACCTTGGAGGCCTAGTCCAGCTCAAGCAGGAGAACCTATACCATCTCAGACATTTAAGGTAAGTTATTTTAAAAAATGAGCAACTCAGGTACTCTCCAATCTAAAACTCAGGATCCTGTAAAGATTCAAATGAAAGGTGCTAGAAAGTTATTTACATGTTGCATTAGACCTTATTGGTTTAATTAAAATTTATTTAATAAACCAAGAATTAGCTGATTTTGCACAAAAGTGTAAGTCAGAAATTATGGTTTACTAACCACAGTCACTAAACCAAAAAAGCAAATAAACTTTTGGGTTTGGACAATATGTGATCCTAACCGGGTTTATGCCATAATCCAATATAATCCTTCCCCAAAATTAAAGCTTTGAAGTTCAAAAGATCTGTTCAAAGGTAAATTTGTACAATTACAGAGTATCCCCACAAGGGGGCTCTTTTAACAAAATACCCTGGCAAATTTTCCTTCGCACAAGATTACTTCCAGTCGCTCACATACAGTATTCACGGCTGGATAGACAACACCCTGGCCTATAATATGATGGGACTTCCGCCTTTATTCCTTTAAAGTGGAAAGGCGTGGCTAAATAGGGGTATCTCCGGTTATTCAGCTAATAACGGTAGAATCGGACCGGAATGAAAACTATAGTAGGAGTATCGCTGTAGGTTCTAGGCGCTTCATTCCCAAATAGAATTTAAAGCGCCAGACTCATCACATTAAGTAACATCACGGAGAAAAAGAACAGACACGTAACGAGGAAGACTGCGTCGGAAGGTCGTGGCAACTTCTTTTGTGCTCTGGAAGGAGTAGGAGCCAATTTACAGATCTGTTTCTGCAGCACGATTTACATTCGCCTCCGAGGCGGAGTCGGGAAAGCCAGAGCGGACCAGAAGGAAGCCTTTCCTTCTTTGGTAACTATTAAACAAATCTTCCCTAATATCTGAATTTTTCCGATCCGAAAGAGCCATCTGTGCACATCATTATAACAAGGGATTTCTTTCAATACATGTCTGGTTTCCTCTGTTTTATCTTTTACCTTGTAAATCCATTGTCTCTGCTCCTCTACATATACACGGTGTCATTGTGAAAATGTCGTTGCAGTTTATCAAGGATGACAAAGGTAAGGATCAGCTGCTTTATAAAGGATATCTGTATAAGAAAGTGCGTGCAAGCGGGAACAAAACGTTCTGGAAGTGTGCTGAATACCACAAATACTGTTGTACAGGAAGGGCTCACACAAGCCACGACCAAGTTATAAAGGCTTTACCACATCTTCATCCTCCCACCAGGATGCCAACAGAAGCTGACCAAGTGCCATATAGCGTGAAAAAAATCACCACGGGCCCAGAATCAAACCCTAAAATGAATACAGCAAGTTGTGATGCATTGTCAGAAGTTCGTACCAAGAAATGGTGTACACACCATCCAAGCCAGACAATCCAACGTTTGAGAGCATGTTTGAAGGCAAGCCGCCAACCTTCGCCCAATTTACGGGAATCTATCGCTGCTGTTGAAACAACTGTTAAAGAGCCAATTGTGCCATCAGCTTTAACATCTCCTGGCTTTCATGAGTTCACCGACAGCTCTGTGGAAATGCCAAACCCTGGTCTTTGTAAAGAGAAGTGTGCTCTGAACTCGCCTTCAATCCAGGCTAATCGAGAAGCTGGTCGACAGAGATTCCGCCTATCCACCCTTCTCCCTGGAGAAACTCTGCAGGAGATTCTGTCCCGGCTGAGTACTGCAGCCCTGCAATGGCTCTGTCCTCAGGAGCACAGCAAAGACCAGATTGTGGACATGGTCATCCTGGAGCAATTTCTTAGTGTGCTTCCAGTGGACCTGCAGACATGGTTGAAAGCCCAGCAGCCAGGCAGCAGCAAGGAAGCCGTTCAGTTGGCTATGGCCTATCATAAACAGGAACCTGCCAAGCCCATTCAGGTGCTGGGGAATGGGGTATAATAAGGATGTATTGGAATGACATTATCTTTAGAATGGAAACCTGTCAATGTAGCTGATACTTAAACATGCTAGAAGTTCTAGTGATGCCCTTGGTGCTCCTGAATTCACAGGAAGCAGTGCAGGCAGTTGTCAATGGAGAAAAATGTCTGTTTGGCCTCTTTGGTTAGAAAGCTTCTAATGCTGTAATCCTTTACTTACAGCTAGAACATCCATAAGGAAGTATTTTGTAAAGGAGGGGAGGGGTCTGGTGGATATAAGGAATTTATTTGAGGTCTGCAGCTTAAAGGAAGGAAAAAGCTTTATCCGGAGTAAGATATTCAGAACAACAAGGGATGACTCATTTCCTATCCTCTAAAATAGCCAGCTTTAATTTCCTGGCAGACTCTGTGTGCTTTCCTTGTTTAGAAATTGGGGAGAGTGAAAGCTGGTCTAGAATCCATATATTGTAAAGGAAAATTTTTATCCTGCTTCTCTTACTGCTCTCGAAGGCCCATGTATTTTGGACAAAGAAAATACTTCCTGTCTTTGTGTTGATACAGGCTAATTGGTAGTTAGTAGATTCATGCACAGATTGTGCTGCTTACATGTAATCTGGTTATATAACCAACATGGATGCTATGGATTTGGAATCTTTGCTGATGCACAAAAGGAGGGGTCTTTTAGCAAAGACATATATCTTCTTAATCCTCAGCTTTTCAGTAAATGTAGTTCCACAGTAATTGTCATCAGGCATTCAGAATTTTTGCAAAGAAATATGGATGTGGCTGCAAGATGCAAAAATTTGGAATAGTGGAGGAAGTTCTGGAGCTAAAATAAAATTAAAACTTAGCAAAATAAGTATTGGAATAAATACATGTCTAATAAATATGTATAAATGGCAAATTGCCAGGCTGCAGGAAAATATTTGGGCAGGGATAGAAAAAAATTTTTAGTGTATTCTTTTTTTTAATATATATTAAGTTTTATCAACAGGAATAAAATGCAAAACAGAAAAACATACATCCAACAACAAACAATAATTGTGTACAAAAAAGAAAATAATGACACAAACATCAAATAAGTCTAACATTGAACATACACAAAAAAAATCCATCCTGGCTGAATGTTGAAAAGAAAATTTACAAACCCTGATAATTTCTTCTCTTATATAATGGATCTACAAATAATTATAAGTTTTCTCATTCTTATTTAGCAAGAAAAATATATAAACAAATATTTCAGATGAGGAAATCTCTAATAATCAAATCCACCCAACATCTAATTATAATATATATTTTTTAAAAAATAATAATCAACAGGTTAGTCCAAACATTACACTATTCAAATCCCTCTGTTAACCATCTGTTATTGTAGAAACCCCACAAACGGCCTCCAGTCTCTTATAAAACTGTCTAGTCCATTGTTTGATTATTGATTTGATCATGTTCATAATTTGTTAAGAATACACTAGAAATTTTTCTTCTAATGTATTGTCATCAAATTATGAACATGATCGAGTCAATAATCCTGATGAAGAATTCTAAAGTCAGACTGGCTGTTTCTGCTCATTTGTGCATCTGGTCCAGAACTGCCTTTTCCAGATAGCACTAATTCTCTAGCAACATGGAGATGTGAGTTTTTCTGGGATCCTTTAAGTAGAGATGCTTATGATTAAATGGGAAATCTCCATGCAGATCATGTGCTCTACTTCAGAAGCAGGGTATGAAGGAAACACTGATCCACTTCTGATTGTTCAAACAAAAGGGATACAGGTAGTTCTCAACTTACAATCATTCATTTAGCAACTATTGGAGGTTACAATGAAAAAAGTAATTCATGATGGTCCTCACAACCACTGCAGCATCTTCATGGTCATGTCATCAAAATTCGGGCACTTGGCAACTGGCATATGTTTATGACAATTGCAGCATCCTGGGGTCATGTGATTGTCATCTGTTGACTTTCCGAGCTGTTTTCTGACAAGCAAAGTCAATGGGGGAAGCCAGATTCGCTTAACAATCATGTGATTCAAATAACAACTGCAGTGATTCACTCAACCGTGACAAAAAAAGATCATAAAATTGGGCATAACTTGCTTGACAATCAATGGAAATACTGGTCCCAAGTGTGTCATAAGTCAAGGACTACCTGTATTCAGTGTCATATAGCGCCTCTAAAATTTAAAACAGGGGTGTCAAACTGCTGGTCTGTGGGCCGGATGCGTCACGTGGAAGCCGCGCCCACCCCATTGCCGGCAATGGCAAAACTGGCCCGATACATTGCACGACGTCACATAACATCGCAAGTTTGACATGCCTGATTTAGAGCAATGCTTGCCAAACCTTTTCCTTCATTACCCAAAACCACTTATCAAAAAGTCTTAACCAACTACAAGGACCCATCATGACTTAAAATGGTCACCAAGCAAATGATCATAACTGAGTGACTATCTGTATTATAAAACAATATTATTGAATGGCTTTGTCATTTCAACAAATTACCATAGCAATTTCATCTAAATATGAATACTTTTAAAGATGTTTGAATATATTTTAGTATACATGGCAAAGGCAATTTAAATATCCCTATTATAGTAATGGATTGATGTGTCATTATCCAAAGAAAAACTTTTGACCCATTTTGGGTAATTTACTCAGATTTGGGAAGTTCTGACTTAGAGAATCCATTTAGCTGTTATGGTTACTATATGTTGCTAGATTTGTAACCCATAAATGGTTAAATCTTTTCTTGGAGCCATTCAAACCAGTTTCCATTTATGGCAAATTGTTCTGAAACAAAGCAATGGTTGGAGAATAGAGTTTATGTGTGAGTTACATCAGTGAAATGCATAATTGTCTAGTTGGCAGCAGAGTCAATTTGGAGAATACGAAATTTTCACTTTCTATATTGATAATTTTTCATTGCTTTCTTATTTTCAGTTTGCATTTCATATCTAGCCATCCAGTAATCATGTGTGATACATTGCTTATTCCCCTCTTACAAATTGGGAATAAAACTAGATTTGACCTGGATAGTCAAAGGAATTAGGGATAGTGCTGATATTTGATCAGTAACTCCATCTCAAAGTCTTTGCAAAATTCCATGCAATTAATAAATTAACCCCTCTGATTATTTTAGGATACGATAACCTTTGAAGATGTATCTATTCATTTCACTGAGGAAGAATGGACTCTACTCAACCATAAAGAAAAAAACCTTTACTGGAATGTCATGCATCAAAATTATGATAATGTAGCCTGTCTGGGTAAGAATTCTGGGGAAACCCTAGAACAGAAGTCTTCTGTAGACTAGAAAACTAAGGCAACTTGTTACTTTTTAGACATTTTGATCTACAATTCCTATAGCTTACAAGGGTCGAATATTTGGAACCAAAGGCCAAAGTACCATATATTCCGGCGTATAAGATGACTTTTGAGAGCGTTGAAACAGGCGCTGAACTCGGGGGTTGTCTTATACACCGAATCGTCTTATACGCTGGAAATAAGGTAGTTTCTGGCGTATAAGATGACTTTCTAGGCATGCGACTTGGCGTCGATCGTCTTATATGCCGAAATAACGAAGTTTCCAGTGTATAAGACTTTCTAGGCATGCAACTCGGCGTCAATCATCTTATACGCCGGAAATACCGGTAGTTTCTGGCGTATAAGACGACTTTCTAGGCATGCGATTCGGCGTTGATCGTCTTGTGACGGCGTCAATCGTCTTGCAACTCGGCGTCAAACTCAGGGGTCGTCTTATACGCCAGGTCGCCCTATATGCCGGAATATACGGGTATTTGAAAGGCTCAGATTAATTTACCTTGGAACTAAGCTAAATTCTGAGTGATGTAAAAAGATGTTATCAGAGTTTATCCAAAATGTTTTGATTAGCTGGTGGCTTCACAAATCTTGGCATGCTGTCCAGAGCTCCTTGGATTAAAGACAGGCTCCAAGTAGTCCTGACTACTGGTGCTGAACTTCAGAGGTATAACAGACCTCCCCAGCAGTATTTATGACCTGGTTCTAACAGCCACCCGCACTCCCACAGTCATGTGACCATATTTTAGGCATTTGGCAACCAGCCCACATTTAGAGCCATTTGCAACATTACATGGACACATGATCACATTTTTTTAACAATTTTGCCAAAAACCAGCATTTACATCCAAACCAGCCCATAGCAAACAACTGGTTCACTAATTGCTGTGGCGGTTGCTTTATGATTGCCATGTTTGCTAAATGGCTGCTGCAAAAAAAGGACATATATCGGGTCACTCACATGGGTAACCCGCTTTATGACCATCATGACTTACAACCGTAATGGGCAGGCTCTATTATGGTCATAAGTTGAAGATTACCTGTACACAGAATATTAAAAAGTAAGCTGAAATATTATTTGGTTGCACACAAAGAGCAAGTATAACCATCTAGAATAACTGAGAAGAAGTTATGATGGTATATAATAAATAAATAATTATTATTTAATAAAATAATAAAGAAATTCTACACATGGGTAGAATTTTTAATCTACTTAGAGTACAGAGCTTTTATAAAATTATTATATTTAACATTATGATTAATTTATTGAAACAAGAGTTTTCACTGCAAACAAATATTGGTGGACTTAAGGGATGTTTTGATTGTTTCTTTCTTTTAGCAAGAGATCAGATCAAAGGAAAAAGCCAAGAGGAAGACCTTCTGCAGGAAGTCTTTGATCCAGCAGTGGAGTGGCTGGAAAAATCCAAGGAGACAATTTTACAACATTCTGAACAAGAGTTGAATAAAAACTGTCTGAAGAACCAGCAAAAGAGAACCTTGGAGAAGGAAGAAATATTCATTTGTTCTGAAAGAAATATGATGGGACCAGACAGAGACATAATTCTTCTAGACACCGAAGTAGGGCTGCGGAGTCAATGCCTACATATTGATTATGGAGAAAGTGGTACTCTTGCAATACCTATCAATGATCAGAAAACCCTGAATGAGGAAGATCTAACAGGCTCATATGGAATATCCAATAAGATACATCTCCAGAATCTTAAGCAAAATTTAATCAAAGAGGAACAAAATAATACTGAAAGACAACAGGCAGAAAAAGAGAAATTTTATGGAGGCCATTGGAGGAATCCAGTCCATCATGAAACTCGAACAAGTTGGAAAGCTGTGTGCGCAGCCATTGATGATACAGAACAAACTGAGCCACTAATACTTGACAATCGGGGAGATTTTAGATATGTAGATAAATCATTGGAAACAATTGTGGAAAGAATTTCTCCAAGCCCTGATCCAGATCCAATGCTCATTTGCTCAAAAATATGTTCTGCTGAGTTGAATGAAAGTACGGATTTGACCAGTGAAAACCAGAATATTCTGGAAAGTGGTCTGGTTAATAGTTCAGAAAATGTAGGAGTACTGGAGAAACTCAGTTATTTTGGAAGTGTTTTACAGGAACCTGCAACACAAATTCCTCATTCAGATGTTCAACAAGATTCAGAAACCCAGTACAGATACACCAGTCATAGTAATGAAGATGACGCTTCCAAAATCAGCCTTGGCAGTCAGTTGATTACATGTCCTAAGTATAAATGTATTAATTCTTTCAAAAAGTATGCCTGTTCCAATCCTGAGGAAATCATCAGTAGTCTTTCAGCTTTAATAAAACACAGAAGAGCTGACCGAAAATATTTCAGTAGAAGAAGTTTGAAATTCCAGTCTGGAACACATCATAGAACTCACACAAGAAATAATCTCCAGAAACGCTTGATTAGGCATAACTGGTGGTACTTGAAACAAAATAGAAGCTGGCTTCTTGAATTGGGAGTTACTCTAAAGCAGTTTCCAAAGTTTGATTCCATAACACTTAACACCCAAATAGGTGAAGCTTTGTACCTGGCTGTGCAAATCATAAGGAGGTTTTCTGCAACTGGGTTTTTCTCTTCAAGTTCCCCCCAAATGGAACAACAGGAGAGATCTTTTCCTCTTCCCTTTCTAGACAAAATGGCTACTGAGCCTACCTTAAGCCAGGTAATGACTGTGCTACAGCAGCTGGCTGCTAATATTGCAGAAATCAAGGCAGCCATCTCCAGCCTGCATTCCACTGTAACTAGCCTCCAGAATGGGTATTTCCCTGAGTGCACAGGTGAAGCTGAAGGTGGGATTTCTGATTTGGAAGACCCCTCCCAAAAGACCAAAGCTCAGTCTGGGCAGCCTTGTAATTATATTAAAACCACTGAAGTCAAACAGGTGGGAAAATCCACACAGACCAATGTAAGAGCTGAATTGTGGTCATCTCTGAATGTTGAAAAAGGCGCAAATTCTCATCTCTCCCCAATTCATGAATCAGGAGAGTCATGAAGAAAAGATTAAATTCCCAAACTGGCAAAATATAGAATTATAGAATTGGAAGCATCCATTGCTGGAAGTAACATTTATTTATAGTATAATTTGTAGAAAACTTTTCAAAACTACAAAAAGAAGCAGTAGTGATCATAGTAATAAAATAAAGTGTTTCATGTGTCCGTGCATTGATGGCTGAGCGTGGAAAAAGGTTTAAAGCAGTTTGCTGTAATCCCCATGTTCAGAAACAAACAAGACTGCCTCTCATTGATCTATCACACAAAATATGGTGAGGAATATCTGTTAGAAAAATTTCCTCTGGGGAAAGATTACGCAAGTAGAGAGAAGCAAAATAGTGATTTAAAAAGGCTGACCCTTTTTAGACAGAAGGAAAGAAAGAAGAGGGAGCTTTTAAAATACGCATTATCTAATGTGAGGGAATTGTCTACCTTCTTAGTTCACTCCATATAACTTTCTTTTAAGCATAATGTTCCTGCAGCCTAGATGTTCACCAAAATGCTTTTGAAAATAGGATTCTGTCTCTTTATGTGGATGCACACAAATACATAGTTTTGAGTGTGCACTTCTATGCACTCTTGGGTGCTTTTCTTGGGAAGAGTATCAAGTGGTTTGCTCCTGATTTCTTCTATGATATTTGTTTCACTTCTCAACCTAGATTAGATCCCTGGAATCTTTGATAGTCTTCCATCCAAGTACCATCAGCCAAAGTTAGTTAAATGCTGCCATTTTATAATAATAATAATAAAGTTGGAAGGGATCTTGGAGGTCATCTAGTCCAACCACCTGCTCAGGCAGGAAACCCTATATCATTTCAGACAGATGGCTGTCCAGTCTCTTCTTAAAAACTTCCAGTGTTGGAGCATTCACCACTTCTGGAGGCAGGTTGTTCCACCGGTTAATTGTTCTGTCAGGAAGTTTCTCCTTAGTTTTAGGTTGCTTCTCTCCTTGGTTAGTTTCCACCCATTGCTTCTTGTCCTGCCTTCAGGCGCTTTTGCTAAAAGAATAAGCTGTATGGGCTAACGTGACATGTAATCCAGTTCCAACAGTGACCAAGTAAATCCACCTCTTTATGGGACTCCTACAAGCAGGCCAAGGCTTAAAGAAGAGAGTCCTCTCTCAGAATTTGTCTCCATAACTTGAAAGAACTGCCTTTGACCACAATCGTTCCATTTAGGAAACGTATCTTTATAGGTTTCTCTTCATAAATGTGTCAAAACTTCTTTGAATTCCAGTTAAACGGCCTGGGAGCAAGCACATCGTAGAGCAGTTGAACAATGTAAGGCTGCATTTTGCTGTGCTTGGCTCTTGGGTCAGTGTTTTTCATTTAGTAATCTGAATGCCTGGAGAAAGTAAGAGGGATGTTTTATAGATTGTGCCTTCCCACCTACGTACCCACAGTAGATGCTGCCTCCAGAGAAATAGCCCTGGCTCTGATTCTTCTCAGTGCCAGCCAGAAAAGGGTTTATTACTCCAGGAATTTTGAATGATTAATGTGTTAATTTTAAGCTTTCTTGACTGGGGGGGGGGCTGCTGCTTTTATTGTATTACTATTTTATGTCACTTTATTGTTATGCATTTTAGCTAGTCCTTTCTTAATATATATTTTGATGGCTCAGAATTTAATTTGGTGATTTTAAAGTAAACAGTAAGGTATCCAAGCTGGCATACTTTGGCTGACCAAATCTGAGTTTGAAAGCTAAGTATTATCTGCCTGGATAATAACATGGATGACAGGATGACAGGCTAGAAGGGAAAATCAAACACATCTCAGTGGTAAACTGTTTCTTTATTACTCCCCCCCCCCCAAAAAAAAACCCCTCTATGAACATATCTATTAACTCAATTGCTGGGAAAAGTAGGTTTTCAACAATGGGATACACATTTCAAAAATGAAATTAAAAAATATATTGACATTTTTCCCCTCTGCCCTTTGAAATTATCTCCCATTTCTTAAAAAAAAAAATCAGTCTCAGACAAGATGATTCAGGTAGTTGTCATTTAGAGTAGTGTTTCTCAGCCTTGACAATTTTAAGGCATGTGGACTTCAACTCCCAGAATTCCACAGCCAGCAATGCTGTGGAATTCTGGGAGTTGAAGTCCACATGCCTTAAAATTGTCAAGGTTGAGAAACACTGATTTAGAGGCTGCCTCATTCAGCAACTGTTTGCAATTGCAATGGAAATGAAAAATGTTGCAACCAAACCTCGCATGTATGTCTTTCGCAGGTATGTAAAGCAAAGGCAAGCTGAAGAAAGATCATAAGCACAGTCACAGTTTCACTTCACAACCGCATTGCTTAATGACCAAGTTGCCATTCCCAATTGTGGCTGCTAAGGACCTCCCATACTTAGCACTTTATTAATAACTAGCTGTACCCAGCCACGCGTTGCTGTGGCTCAAGAAAGAAAAGAGAAAGTGCACGTTTGTAATATGTTTAATTTCACAATGCTTGTGGGTATACAATATTTTTTGTTGTTCCATTGTGTGTGCAGATATAGAGATTACGTCCAACAGATGGCGCTGTTTTTCAAAAAAAGCATGTTTTTACCTGTCACAAGTGTGACATCTATATAATATAGGTATATAAAAACATGCACATATTCGAATGCAACGTTGTGTCAAAATTTCAAAGCAATCGGTGAAGAACTTTCGGAGATTTAAGATTTTGAACAAATGAACATTTACATTTTAATTTATATATTTAGAAGATATAAGTACAAGAGTTGCTACCTAGCAAATCCCCAAAGTAGCAGCCAGATCTCTTGATTGAGAGTCTTGGGAGCGTCTGGGAGGAATGCTGAGCCAAGTACTGTTGCAGCAGTGCTGAATCATGTCTAGCTGTCATTGCACCATTTAGTAATTATTCTTATTGGGAAAAGCTGGTACTGTAGCTCAGGAAAATATTTTTTTATTACCTCCAAAATTTCTCTGCATTTTTTCCTGATTCATTTAATGATTCCTTATTTTCTTTGACCACATACTTTGTAATTATCTTTGTTTCTCTTAACACATTAAAAACGTATTTTTCTGAGCCTGATGATCTGTCCAACACTCAAACCCCACTTTTGTATCCTTCGCTAGCTATCTTAGTCTTTCATTTTAAACCATCAAATTAATCATTTTAATCATATCTATTTGATATGCGAATGCATGCATTTGCTTACCTGAAATGAACAGAGCCTTTTCTAAACACATTCACCCACCAGTAATGATTCTCATTCATTTGGGGAGTCTCTGAACAGCCCAATTGCTTTCTCTGTAATCCCATTTCATTCTCATCTATCCATTCGTGTCAGTTAGCAAAACACAATTCCCAAATTCCTGCTTGTTTCCATGCACATTGCTAACAACCTTGATTGATTATGTGCCATTAAGTCAGTGTCAGGTCTTCGTGACCACATAGATCAGGGGTGTCAAACTGCTGGCCCACGGGCCGGACACGTCATCTGGAAGCCGCGCCCACCCCATTGCCGGTAATGGCAAAACTGTCCCGATACATCTGGCGACGTCACGTGATATCACGAGTTTGACATGTCTGACATAGATAGATGTTCTCCAGGATGATCTGTCCCAATGTTGTCCTTCTGGTCCAGCAATTCATAATCCTCTTACATATTTTAGCCTTTTCCTTCATAATTAAATTCAAATCTTCAGTCCCTTGTATATATTCATCAATGCCCGACACACTTCTTTCATATGTATTTCATCCTTCAATAAACAACATATTATCTTCCTTTCAGTTGTTTAATTTCACTTGTTAATTGAACCTCCTTATTTCTCTTACATTCCACGTCTCAATCTTCCATACGCCATGGTTGTCATTGGAACATACTGATCTCCATGACCCATCATGGCTTTGGGCAACCAAAGCTTTATAATATGTTTTTCAGAAGAGAGAAAAATGCAGACCAGGTAACAGCCTTAGTCCCACCTGTTCCACATGCAGCATTCCCTAATGATGATAAGAACAGTATCAGCCAGTTCACACTGTGGCCAGATTATCTCAAAGCCAGCCAAAGCCCAGTTTCATCCCACACATGTTCATGCTGTCCTAGGCCAGAAAAAGTCTCTAATCTAGGGTGTTCTACAAAATATTAGGTTAAAGATACCAATAATTATGTCCATGCCATTTTTATTTGTTTCATTATTTACAAGAATAAATTGTCATACATCAAAAGCAAGGTGTCTCCTCTCTGGACTATGGAATAAAAAATGGTGGATACCATTTTAGTATGTCAGATTGAATTTAATTCAAGTCGAGATTCATTGGGGAAAAGTGGAGATGTACTTTTGGGCCACATCTATTCCAGCACTGTCTGTATCCAGACTTACTTTCCAGTTTAGACTTTTGCTAGGCAGAATCCAGCAAGAAGCTATTGTTCGTCTACAGATTTTGGGAGAACAAAATGACTTTTCAGGTGAGGTAAGAAGTTGCCCAAAGTAACGTGAAGAATACAGACTTATTGAGTGCTCTCATTATCGATTTAGAAAAGGCTGGTTTTTGCATATCCAAGAAAATTACTTTGGCTCAAAGAAAAACATGATTTTCTAAACTTCAAAAAGAGGCATAAACACCATGCTAAAATTTTAGTATCACCTTTATTTAGATTTTAATTATAAAACCTAAAATTCTACATACATACAGCAACTTCATCATAGTAACTGTGAGTGAGGGAAGCATAAATTATCCCATCAACATTCAGTCAAGAGATTTATTGCCTCATTGATTTTTTAAATTTCTGAACAGAAATTGGGTTAGATGATATTTGTTTTTATTTTAATTATTCGCTGTTCAACTCCAATGGATTTATCACAATGACATCAAAAAGCATCGTTATCTAACCTCAGAGAAGATGCACCCGCAACAACCACCACCAGAGGGCCTTGGCTACTAAAACAGCCTGTTTCCTACAAAGTGAACCTCTATTCTAACCAGGATATCAGGAGGCTGAACTTCCTAGATCAACCAGGCTCTTTGCCATTGTGGGATGCTCTCTGCAATCTAATAGCTACTTCTGCTATGAAATTCTGCATCTGAAAGAGAATTATTTGTATTTATTAGCCATCCAACTCCAATAGCGTCAATTTCTTTTAATAAGGTGACCAACTTTTTTACAATGAAAAGGAGGACACAAATAAATTGAAGAAAAAAAAATATCGTAAATAAAAGAAACATTTTATTCATCGTAACAATAATACAGAATACACTATAATATGATAAATGCATAATAAAAAACATTTGTAACAATAACATTTTATATTGTAATTATGCCGCGCCCCCGCCTGCAGCCGCCCCGCCAGTGCTGCTGCCCCGCCGTGTAGAGCAGGCCCCGCAGCTCCCAAAGCACCAGCTGCGCCAGCTCTGGCCCCAGGGGGAGCCCGCCATTGACACACTCCTCCTGCAACCGCCCCGCCAGCACCACCGCCCACCCTGCACATCCCCGTGTAGAGCAGGCCCCACACCTCCCACAGCACGGGGGGCAGCCGGCCACCGCCGTCCCTCACACCCCCACCCCGCAGCAGCCCCGCCACCCCTGCCTCTTGTGCCCACAGCCATTATTGCCCTAGTAGGGCCGAAGATCAAGAGAAAGTTACCGTGGCATCGCCGCCCCAGTCTCCTCCAGGTATCTTTGGGACTAACTAGGAGATGGTGTAGTTGGGTAGCAGGGAGGGGTGCAAAGTTCCTGCCAATTCGCCTTTGCTGCAGACAACTTGCATGTGCAAAGTTTGCCGGCCGCGCTCAGCAGCAATTTGGCGCGCTCAGCAACAATTCCTATTGGCTTTCGAAAACCAATAGGGGGAGTAGCACAGCTCATGCAAAAGTTGAAAAAAAACCATCAAAAAAAGGTGCCAGAAGGCCATTCTGAGCATTCTATGAGAAAAAAAAAGCCCTGCAGATTAGTCTTCAAATATCGAAAAGGAGGATATGTAGGAGGACACTTTTCAAGGGAGGACAGAACTCACAAAAGGAGTACTGTCCTCCCTAAAGGAGGACGGTTGGTCACCTTTTAAGCACCAAACCGGAGTGAGAACTCCGACCTCACCTGCCACAAGTACTACCACAACAAGCAAGCAATCAACCTGAGCCTCTTGGTACTGTAATTGGAAACTGTCTAGGCCAGGGGTCTCCAAACTCGGCCACTTTAAGACTTCAATTCCCAGAATTCCTCAGCCAGCCAGTTTTAGCCTGGATACCAAGGCTCGGTCCGAGATGCTGATTTAGGACAGAGAGGTTTATTCTAACATTCAAAGGGACCATTCTAAACTGAAAAACAAACATAGATATGTATGTATATGCTTTTTTTTAAAGAAAGAAACCAATTAGAAAACATTCATTTCTTATATGATTTGCCCTCAGAAATAGATATTTCAAAATGGATTTGTTTTATTGTGGCCTTCAAATACCAATGTGGGAAGTCAGCCCCCCAGAGAAGAAATATTAAAAGGTCAGAAAAATATATTTCCTCAAAGGATCTGAAAGAGGCAGAAAAGCATGCCCAGTTTTTTTCTTAATATCCCCACGTCTCCCTCCCCAAGCAGAAACCAGCTGTGTAGAAATGCAGATGTAAACCATTCAGGAAAGTTGAAGCTAGAAGATTAAGAAAACAGATACCTAAAATCTAAATACCCCACCCAAACTCTAAGACAGGACATAATAGGATTAACCCACAGATGCCAAAGGGCACACCCAGACTCAGGTCAAAATACGTGAAATAGGAAATACAAAGCCTCAAACAGGAACAGGAAACAACCTCAAGAGCCCCAGAAGGTATAAAAACCCACTCCCTACATGTGCTCTTTCTCTTTTCTTCCTGTCTGGCTCTCCTCTTCAATAAACTGCAGCCTTCTTTCTAAAGCAGTCGCCATGTTGTTTATTCCCGGCTTGGACTGAATGATAATGAAAACTTTTCCTTCAACACCAACCACAGAGGTGCAGGAGGAGGTGAGGGGGCTAGTCATACAATATATGCCACCCACCACATTTAAAAAAGGTCTGGAAAGGACTGCAGATAAACTTGGATGGGGACAGTTTAATTTACATTTAGATCTGACAGTTGCATTTCAGATGAGAACATTGCACCCTTTCCCCCGACTGAGCTTTTAAAACAGGGGTCTTTAAACTTGGCCCTTTTATGACTTGTGGATTTCAACTTCCAGAATTCCTCAGCCAGCATGCCTGGCTGAGGAATTCTGGGAGTTGAAGTCCACAAGTCATAAAAGGGCCGAGTTTGAAGACTTCTGTTTTAAAAGCTACATGATAGGACCGCTGTCTTTGTAGCAGGCAAACATTCAGTGGATCTTCCTCTTTAAGATCTGCTTCCAGGGAATGAAGGGCTGTGGGAAGAAATTCTAATAACTTTTTGGATGTCATGTGGTTCTTAAATACATTAAGAGTTCTGTCAAGGAAGGGCCAGGAAGATGAAATTTTCGGCAGGTATAGTTTTGGTGATTTTTAACTGAAAAAAAGAGAGGATATCTATATGTATTTGTGTGTGTGTTATTTTGGAAAATAGAATGGGAAAATGCACAAGTGACCTTCACCTTTAAAGATAATCGTGCACTGTAGACTGAAGATGCAGCTCTGGTATTGCTGGACACTGCTCAGCTCTTCCTTGCCTTGGAATTGAGCCTAAACACCTGGTGCTTCTTGATCCAGAAACTGTGACCTGCAGAACAGTGGCTGCTGCTTCTAATGGGCGTTATTCCCCACAGAGTAGCTTGCATATCGTGAAAAGGCTCCTAAATCAGAGTGCTGTTTTCAGAAAAAAGAGAACCCCCTTTTCACATAAACTAGTCATGGAGGATGAGAGTCTACAGACAAGAGCGACATAGTTCTCAAGCCAGAAATCCTATCCCACCTACCATAATAATGTCCCATCACAGGTTTAATTTTGCCTCTAGAAGTTGTGGGTGCTCCAACACTAGAGGTTTTTAAGAAGAGATTGGATAACAATTTGTCTGAAATGGTATAAGGTAGGGGTGTCAAACTGCCGGCCCGCAGGCCGGATGCCTCACGCGGAAGCTGCGCCCACCCCATTACCGGCAATGACAAAACACTCCTGATACATCACGCGACATCACTCCCGATACGTCATGCGACATGTGAGTTTGACATGTCTGGTTCTAAGGCAAGGGTCTTCAAACTTGGCAACTTTTAAGACTTGTGGACTTCAACTCCCAGAATTCCTCAGCCAGCAAGAGTGGATAAAGTACTTCCTTGCAGTCATATTTTAAATTCTTGTGATCTGAAAATTAACCTTATTTTAACTTTTTCTAGGATTGTTCATTTTCACTCAGACTTAGTCACTCAGATGCAGCATCGCTTAATACACACGTAGAAGACCCATAGAATAGCAGCCCAAATAAATGTCAGAATGAAATCTTCAAGAGTGTCACTTTTTATGTGGATGCACATCGCATTTCCAAAGGAACCAGTATTTCAGCAAGAACAGCCATCAGCTCCTACAGCCCCAAACACGTATCGCTTTCTTTCCATATGCTGAGACAGCTTGATTTTGGGACCCAGCTCAAGTTGCTTTCAATAGACCCTCTCTATTAGGACATGTTGTTTTTTGATATTGTTCTTATAGACTTCATTCTTTTAAGATGTTTATATACTTTTGCTTGGAAGATTGCAAGCCATCCTTTATCATGTGTGTGTGTGTATTTAAGAAAAACTATTCAAGAAATGGGGTCGCGATGGGTCGGACACGACTTCGCAATTAACAACAACAATTCAAGAAATTGGCCACCCTTTGCCTCAGAATCATAATTTTTCTCTTTGAAAAGAAAATCAACCAACCCAAAAGTAAATAGTCTGTAAATGCTGCAATCCAGAGTTTTAGAGTCCAAACTGCAGCAGTTCATAGCCTACCAATCAATAAGGTAAGGTCAGTGGTGGGATTCAAATATGCAAACAACTGGTTCTCCGTGTGGATGCCGCTTCCGGAAGTCCATTCTGGGCCTGGGCAACAAAAAATTAGCTACCGGTTCTGCGAAGTGGTGTGAACTGGCTGAATCCCACCACTGAATCCTCAACTTGGTGGAAATATCTAGGACAGGGGTAGGCAACCCCGGCTCTTTTATGACTCATGGACTTCAACTCCCAGAATTCCTGAGTCAGCTGTGCTGACTCAGGACTTCTGGGAGTTGAAGTCCATGAGTCATAAAAGAGCCGAGGTTGCCTACTCCTGATCTAGGATAATAGCCCCAACCCACCTGGAGAGTGCCAGGCTGAGGAAATAGACAGAAGGGTAGATTAAAACTCAGTTGGTTACAATGCTCCAGTCAGCCCCCAAGCTTAATCTTAACAGAAGTTCTAAGGTTGAAGGTTAGCTTTTAGAACTTCTAGTCTCTACTTTAACTACTAAAAACTGCCTGGAAATGAATGGGTTAGCAGATCAGTTCAGCAAGGTCTGGACCCTGTAAAGTAGATATATTTTCCATTCTGTTGTCCTTTTCAGGGTTTTGAGTTATTTTTAGTGCTTGCAATGTGATCCTGCAAACTTCAGAAGAAACCACTGTCTAGGTGAGGCATTGTCTCTAACCAAACGTATTGTTTGAGTCTAAAAGATTTTTTTCTAAGGTTCCTCTACCATCTAGCCTCAAATGACTGACCCAACCCAGTTCACTTCCCCACCACTGCTAAGACCGCCCCAACCCTACTTTTCCCCCCACCTTCAAGTGCTTTTTTTAGTCAACTTGGTTGGGAATGTACTTAAGACTCCCAACCTGCCCTATGATTGAGCACTAGGTCCCTGCTGGATCAGACCATAGTTCTAGCTACACTAATTCCTTCATTCCCACAATGGACACACAGAAGCTTCTGGAAAGCCCTGATATGAAAGGCAAGACAACACCAGCCCACACCCAATTCCCTCAGTAACTTTGAGATTCAGCAAGATAAATGAGATAGTTTGCGATTTCCAATCTTCACTGAAGTATTCTAGATTATTTTAAAGCCACCAAACGCTAGAAACCATCACACTGAATGGCAGTTGGTCTTGATTTTGCCAGTCTTAAATCTACAATCCATTGGTTTCACTGGGTAATGGCCACATTGGCTGTTGGGGGGAGGGGGGCAAACATCTGAGGAAGGGCAACTTTCTTCCCATCCTAATCTTACAAATCTCTTTCCATACTCCCAATTAATTGTTTTCCTTTTCAATTAAAAAGCCATAAATGCTTTAGCCCAGCTGTTTGGACCTGGTGCCTTCCATAAATATCGGGACTACAGATCCATGAATAGGCCCAAGCAACATTTTGGCTGGGATTTCTGGAAGTCAGAATTCCAGAAAGTCAGTCCAATTTAACTCAAGTGAGCATTTTGGAGCTGCCTTCTAAACCAGTGGTCCCCAACCTTTGCGGCCTGACTGGGGGTGGGGATGGGGGTGGGAGAGGGCTCCGCCACTCATGCACCCTGGTTCCAAACAGGCCATGGCCCAGAGGTTGGGGAACCCTGTCCTAAACAATCTGCATGGGTGTTATATAAATGTGATAGACAAGCGATACTATTCCTGTCCCAAATTTCCTCTGAAAACATTCAGCAGAGTTTGCTGAAATGATAGAAGTAAACCCCGGAGCATAGCGCACAGTATGAAAAACCAGACTTACATATGCTACAGTTGTTTTACTTGATTACTCCTAATCATCAACAAAAAAAAATCAGAGATTAGAAACATTTTCATCTCTATTAGTCAGTTCAGGAAAGGGGTCCTAAAACAGAAAAAAAAAGACTTGCTTTAGACAAAAACAAATGGGGGGGGGGGCGAAGAGAATAAGAGCAAAATCAAGAGAGGCATATGGTGTCAAACAGTTACCCCAAAAGCAATAAAGCAAATGAACTTCTGAAGGAAACATGACAGTAAAGCAAATGATATTGGTCGGGAAGCATAGGCAGATAGGATGAGAAAAGAGCAGGGTTACAGAGACCGTTTACTAATACATTGTCCATCTATATTAATCCTCTGATTTGGTGTTTCAAAGAGTGTTGTGGACGTGCAGAATCACAGCACATTTACAGTAATTCCAAACTCTTCCCAACACCAAGCTTCCAGTCCTCTGTGGGCATCTCTTCGGTAAGCATGCCACGGAGAGTGAAGGGCAAGATGGATTCTTCCAGCTGGTCATCTGGAACCTGAATCTGAGGTAGGATTTGGGGAAAGTACAGCAGCTGGATAAAGCAACAATTCACAACCTCAGCAACTGGGAAGACAAACCTCCATTTTCATCATAGCCTTACAGACTTCACTGGCCATCAGGGCTCAAAAGAGTGGCTTTGCTTAAGGACCATCCCATCTATACCCCAGGCCTACAATTCTCCCTGATGAAGAGTTTCACTTTCCATGGCCTCAGTCAGCAAACGTTATGACTCACCTATCCTCTCAAGCAAGCTCTCTCAAACCCCAAGCTTCTTCAGGTTTCTCCAACGCTTTTTTCCATCTCTCCTCCGCAAGTCTAGGAACATCGTGTTCCAGTGATAAATCCCAGAGCTTAACGTTGCAGAGCCAGGAGGCTCCTCCCTCCCTCCCATTGAGTTTTTGTGCTTTTTCATCACATTCCTAACCTGCTCTTCTCGAGATTAAGTTCATGTTCTGCTTCTTTTCCCCCTTACACTCGCACCAATCCAAAAATCTCGTTGAGTATCCTTGTCCCTTTCCTTTTTACAGCACAAGTTGCTTTTGTCAACCTCTCCTCAATAGGCTCTTCATAAATGTCACTCATAATTCTGAAACAAAAAAAGTTACGCAGCCGACCCAGGATCAACGCCTGAAACGGCTTCTAATTTTCTTGGTAAAACAAAAGGCTGGCCCCTCTGACTTCCTCCGTCATCCGTAGACTGTCCACAAATGTGTTCCCCATTCCCATATCTGGATTCTTCTGGAACCTATCTATTATCTATCCTCCATACATTACTCCTTTTGGCCTTCCCAACCCAACTGCACCCATTTTCCTCTTCATTCTCTTGGTACAGCAGACCCCACTTCCCTGCATCAAGAACCACTGTGACCAATTTATCAAGACCTCCCAAGGTTAAAGCACCAAAACCGAGTGTACCTGGTGGACTGGGACTCATTAAACCAACACTCCCAATAGCCACAGGAGAGTCAAGTGTTTCCATTCTCTAGTTAATGCTGGAAAAGAAATCCAGATATTTCTCAGTGCAGGTAACATCTCTCCAAACTAATTAAGCAGAAACTAAACAGCTAGGGTTTCAAGAACCAAGAAAAAATAGGGAGGATTTTTCTCCATGTAGCCCCCCCCCTCCCCCAGTGTATCAAGGATGCAATAGTTTGATATTAAGATATCTAGATACTCAGGTACTACAGTACCATCTAATTATGATATTCACTAATATTGGCCAGCACAAGGCCTTGGATGTTTAAGTTCTTTAAGGTAAGTCAATAAAGCTTTTGCTCCACATTCAAGAGGCTTAAAAATGCTCAGTTTTTCAGGCCCCCGTGCAGATTTCCACAGCATTTACTAAAGTCTCAGTCAGGCATATTAAGGTCTGGAGGTCAGTCTTCAGCATTTGTTAAAGCTTCATTATCCAGAGTTTCAAAATAATAAAAAAAAGGATTGTGAGGGGAGAGAATTGGTCTATCCAAGGCAAGGCTACCAATCTACAACATAAAGATGAACAGTAAATAAAGCTTTTCCCCCAACCCTGGGGCACGTTCATATGTACAGTGTCAACTAAATGTGAAATAAAGTCATCCACGTGGACTCTAAATTAGGATCCTCATCACCAATGGACGTGGTTATTATTGTCTTCTTGACAAATCTTCTTTCATGTGCTGGTAACAGCCCTACCTCTCCACCCAGACTTTTCTGTGAGCTTCCCATTGTCCTAGACATCTCCTCCTCTCTCACACCATGTTCGTAGCATCGGATCCTGTTGAAAGAGCTGAACAAGTACCAGAGTCTCCACAACCTCAGAACATCGCCATGCCCTTCTCTTGCAGGGATTCTCGACTGTTCAGTACTGGAGAACCCCTGCCTTCACATTTCATTTCAATTAAATGATCCTTAGGGGACTCCTTAAGGTGGCACCTTTGGTGCTTGAGCAGGTTGGCTCGGCGGGTGAACCCCTTCCCACAGCTGGAACACCGGAAGGGCTTGGTCCCAAAGTGGGTCCGCTGATGGATGATGACTTCCAAGGTGGTGCTGAAGCTGCGCCCACACTCACTGCACTTGTAGGGCCTCTTGCCCAGGTGGCTGCGCTGATGCTTGAAGAGTTGGGAAGTCTGGCTAAAGTGCTCAGGGCAATTGGGGCATTTGTAGGGCTTCTCCCCCGTGTGGATACGCTGATGCCTTTCCAAGTGGGAGCTCCAGGCAAAGCTTTTGGAGCAATACTGGCACTTGTGGTTCTTCTCCATGGCATGACCGCGCTGATGAGCTAGGAAAGCAGAACTGTCCCCAAAGCATTTGTCGCAGTCCGCACATTTATAGGGCCGGGCATGAGAGTGAGTCTTGTTGTGATGAAGGAGGTGGACCTTCTGGGCAAATTTCTCCCCACAGATAGGGCAGGGGAACGGGCGCTCCCCAGTGTGCACCCGACGGTGGCGCTCAAGATGGGAGGCCCACACAAACCCTTTCCCGCATTCTTCGCAGAGATGGGTGCGCTCACGGTGGTGTCCCCGCTGGTGCCTCATCAGCGTCTGACGACTGCGGTAGACCTTGCCACAGTCCTCACAGCCCAGATGGGTCTTCTTGTGTTCCTCCAGCTCAGAGATCTGAGCAAAGCTTCTCCAGCAGGCAGGGCAGTTGTAAGGGCGCTCGCCCATGTGGTTACGCCGGTGCTTGGCCAAATGGGCACTCTGGCTGTACGACTCCCCACATTCAGGGCACTTGAAAGGCCTCTCCCCGGTATGGACCCGCCGGTGCCTCTCCAGATGGGAAGCCCAGATGAAGCATTTCCCACAGTCCAAGCACTTATGGGGCTTCTCTGCGGTGTGGCCCTTCTGATGGTTCTCCAGGGCTGAGCTCTGGGCAAAGCGTTTCCCGCACTCGGGACACTTGAAGGGCTTTTCGATCAGCTGGGCGCAGCTGTGCTGCAAGAGGTGGAAGTTCTGGCTGTAGGCTTCCCCACAGTTGAGGCATTTGAAGGGCTTCTCTCCCGTGTGCATCCTCCGATGGCGCTCTAGGTGGGAGCTCCATATAAAGCACTTCCCACAGTCGGTACACTGGAAGGGCTTCTCCCGAGCGGCGTTGACTTCGCTCCGCTGGCGGCCTCTGCCGGCAGAATGAAGGGTCCTCGTGCAATCTGAGCAGCGTCTCTCGAGGCTTTTTTTCAAGGCGTGTCCACGCTGGGTTGCTTTGTCCTTCTTCACCACTGGAATGATCTTTGGCTGCTTCGGAGTTTCCCGTCTCGCCAAGGGCTTGACCTTTCTGGGCGCACTTTGAGAGGTACCTGGCCGCAGTTCCTCCACGCCTTCAGGTTCTTCTTCGTCCTCCTCTTCCTCCTCATCGTCATGGTTACTGTTGTTTAGCAATTGATTAGCTGCTAAGACAAAGGCAGGCAATTAAACTCCTGGCCAACATCACACTCAGCCCATGTTATTCCAACTCCTTTAATTTGGCGTTTCATCACTGAAATAACCAACTTCCTGGCAAATGTCATAAGGGTCACTTCATTTTTTAAAGTTGTTTACACTATCTTATTTGCTCTGTTTCCTTATAGGCAACTTCACTACTTCTGAAAGGAATGCATACATCTAAAAATGAGCAACTCGCAATATTTAAAATAAGCCTATAGAAGACTTTTACTTCCCCACCCACCCAGCAATCATTTGTAAATTACAAAAGCAAAATAATTTTATTTTCATTTTTGCTTATCATGTACTGATTTACTAGTGCTTTAGGAGCAGCAACAAAAAAGGAAAAGGGGCTATATAAATATTTTAAATAGACTAAATAAATTTGGCAAATGTATTTGCAGTCTTCCCCAACCTGATGGTCTTCAGATGTGTTAAACCACAATTTCTATCATATACTTTAGCAATTCTCCCAAACTGGCAAAAGTATTACTGCTGTTATAGCCTAGTGCACTAGAGGGCACTAAAGTGGAGGCGGTTACCATAAGAATAGACCACCATTCCAATGTTATGCTGGGCCAACTAGCTTAATCCCTAATTACAATAGCCACCAATTAGAGATTACAATTACAATTATATTCTGCCTCTCACCCTTATACTCTCACCCACCCTTTTATCCTTTTTTGCAGCATCTGGTGTGTTTTTCCTGGACCCTCTGAGTAAAAGTAAAATTTCCACCTTCTCCAATCCATTCCCATCAAGCAGGAGATACACCAAACAGAGTAAGAGAATCAAGGTCCACGTTCTTGGGATACTCTAAAGGCTAAAGGAATTAAAAAGGCTTGAAACCAGGTGACCAACATGGGGTTTGCAAGGAAAAAAAGAATGGGGAGAAATAAACTGAGAAGGAAATAGAGTTGGGCAAACTCCAAGAATGAATGCATAAACATAAGGGGTGGGCAAATATGTCCCTGTTACAACCTGTAGATTTTATGTTGGCTGGCAAAGGAATTCTGGGAAATACTATTAGTAATAATAAAGTTGGGAGGGACCTTGGAGGTCATCTAGTCCAACCCCCTGCTCAGGCAGGAAACCCTATACCATTTCAGATAAATGGCTGTCCAGTCTCTTCTTAAAAACTTCCAGTGTTGGAGCATTCACCCTTCTGGAGGCAGGTTGTTCTACTGGTTACTTGTTCTAACTGTCAGGAAGTTTCTTCTTAGTTCTAGGTTGCTTGAAGTCCACAGTTTTAAAGAGGTCATAGTTGTCCACCCCTGCTTAATGTGGAGGGCAAAAGAGGGGAAGGTGATTCACCATAAAAGGTGATTTACCATAAAAGCAGAAAAAGAAAAGAGGCTCCTGGAGAAAGAAAGGTAAAAGATACAAGGAAGGAAGATGGAAGTGCAGGGCACAGGGAAAATAACTTCAGTCTGTCCTAATGAGGGCATCCATCTTGGGACAGAAGTGTAGCTAAGAACACAGAACTGGAGTAGCAAGCAGCTAATAGGATGCAGAAAGTTAAAGTCCAGACAGAAAACCAAGAAGTAGCCTTTCCAAGAAAAAGGAACACCTCAGCTCTCCCACCTGTCCTACTTCTCATCTTCTTTCTTTCTCTGACCAGGGATACTAACCAGGATCAGTAAGCAGCCGGAAGAGAGCTTCCTGGGCAGCTATTCTTGCTCGCCTGCTCTCTGCCATCAGATGAGGCTTTAGTCTCCTCTCTCCTGCAGGAAGGCAGCCAGGGAAAGACTGAAGGGCCTTTAGGCCTGGGAATGGCTATTTGTCTAGTAGGTGGAGCCCACCTGGTTTTTTTTTTTTTAAAAAAAGCACCTCACACAGAGGAAATGGGAGGAGTCAAAACTCAAAGAGGGAGGGAGGATACAGGGGTGGAATGGAAGAGCTTTTGAGTAGCCTGTCCCATCTGGACAAGTTTTCCAAAACATCTATGGCTTTTTTCAAAGGACATCTGAGAGGATTCCAAGAATTTAAACTCTGTTTTTTGATGGGGGGGGGAATCAAGATCTTTGCACTGCACATCTAAAGCAGAATACTATCCTGGCTCCGGAATTCTGGGAGTTAAGATCCACAGGTCTTAAAATAAGCCATAGTTGCCCAATCCTGGTCTAAAGGAAAACAAGCCTGACTTTTCAGAAATGAGGTTTCCTCAGGTGCTCTCTGAACTTGCTTGTTTTCTTGCAGAGGTTTCATTATCCTAACTGGGTAACATCATCAGTGCTAGTTTTCAGAAATGAGCCCAGCATTCAACTACAATGAGAAACTTGCTTTCATACTATGAGACAAGGTTGAAAAGTGACACAACAACAAAAAAATGAAGCAGGCATATAAGCAGAGAGGACAAAAAGCCAGGAATCTTGTCTAAAAGATCCCTTCAGGGAGGTGGATAAGAAGGAAACCAGTCCTTAAGGAAACAAAGGGGGGGAAATCCACCTGAATCAGACAAATGATCTTGGGCTGTTAATACATGAGTGAGTGAGGGGCCATAAGGCTAACCTGTGACTGCCTGTCACAAATGCCATCATAAGAAAAACTCATTGACTCCAGGTCCAACCAGCTCCAGCCAAGAAGTTCCCATAAAGGGTTAAATGACATATTTTTTTTCTCTAGCTTTCAACCCCAAGGAATAGCTCTACTTTTCTGTATAAAGGTAAGTAAAGAATGCTTAGGTTAGTGGATAAGTACTCAAAATAAATTCACTGAGTGATAAAACTTTTTTCAGTGACTTCCATATCTAATTAGGACAAAAATCACTATTAAAGTCTGCATGAAAGCCAGCACACTACAAAAGTTAAAATCCACTCCACTTTCAGCCAGTGCTTAAGTGGAAAGTCTGTCTAATTCACAGCTAGCCAATCAGATTTCTGCCTAGTGTGTGGTCAGAACCCAGCTTGTGGTTCAATGTTAATTGAGTAAATCATGGTTTCTTTTCACCATGAATGAATCTGCCACATAGATCTTACTATGTAGGCTCTTTTTTAAAAAAAAAAAAAAATAGAACAAGTTCACAGCAACAGTTTTAGGTAGTGTTTTTTTTTTTTTTTTTTTTTTGTTACTTGATCTGAAAGCAAGTTCCTAAACCTGTAAGCCAGCTTTCATCCTCATTTCATAGGCTATCTGGAGGATACCATGTTGAGAAAAGACTAGCCTCTCAGCCATGTAGGATACTTTGGCCTAGCTTTTGATTCCCTCGTATCAATGTTGGAAGGGACCTTGGAGGTCATCTAGTCCAACTCCATGCTCAGGCAGGAAACCCTATACCATTTCAGACAAATGGCTGTCCAGTCTCTTCTTTAAAACTTCCAGTGTTGGAGCATTCACCGCTTCTGGAGGCAGATTGTTCCACTGATTAATTGTTCTAACTGTCAGGAAATTCTCCTTAGTTCTAGGTTGCTTCTCTCTTTGGTTAGTTTCTATCCATTGCTTCTTTAGCCTTCAGGTGCTTTGGAGAATAGCTTGACTCCCTCTTCTTTGTGGCAACCCCTGAGATATTGGAACACTGCTATCATATCACCCCTAGTCCTTCTCTTCATTAAACTAGACATACCCAATTCCACCAACCGTTCCTCATATGTTTTAGCCTCCAGTCCCTAATCATCTTTGTTACTCTTCTCTGTACTCTCAACATCTTTTTTACATCGTGGTGACCAAAACTGGATACAGCATTCCAAGTGTGACCTTACCATTGTAAAGTGGTATTAACACTTCATGTGATCTTGATTCTATTCCTCTGTTAATGCAGCCTAGCACTGTGTTGGCTTTTTTGGCAGCTGCAACACACTGCTGGCTCATATTTAAGCGATTATCCACTAAGACTCAAGGATCCCTCGTACAGTTACTACTATTGAGCAAGGCACCACCTATACTGTACCTGTGCATTTGGTTTTTCTTGCCTAAATGTAGAACCTTTTTTCACCATTGAATTTCGTCTTGTTAGATCAGTGGTTCTCAACCTGTGGGTCGGGACCCCATTTGGGGTCAAACGACCATTTCACGGGGGTCGCCAAACAACGCAGTCCGCCATTTTCTTTTCCCCTTTTCCTTAGCTGGGCTACTCCCTTTTATTCTATTGGCTTTTGAAAGCCAATAGAATAGACTCTCTTGAATAGAGTCTAATTCTATTGGCTTTCAAAAGCCAATAGGAATTGTCCAGGCTGTCTCTGCCCTGCTGAGCCCACCAAAAGTCCCATTCTGAAAACGGTGCTGCACCAGTTGAGTAGTCCTCGACTTACGACCGGTTGAGTAGTCCTTGACTTACGACCGGTTGGGGTTGCGGCATTAAAAAGGTTGAGAACCACTGTGTTAGATAGTGCCCAATGTTCAAGACTATCCAGATCCTCCTATATCTTAAGCCTATCTTCGGGAGTGTTGGCTATTCCTGCCAGCTGGGTGTCATCTGCAAATTTGATGAGTTCCCCATCTATCCCCTCATCCAAATCATTGATTAAGATGTTGAAGAGTACTGGGCCCAGAACCGAGCCCTGGGCACCCCGCTACACACTTCCCTCCATGTAGATGCAGCTCCATTGATGACCACATGCTGAGTACGGCCAGTTAGCCAGCTATGAATCCATCTGCTGGTGATGCTGTCTAACCTGCATTTTTCTATCTTATCAAGTAGTAGGTTGTGGCCTACTTTATAAAATGCCTTATTGAAGTCCAAATAAATTATATCCACAGCATTCCTCTGGTCCACTAATTTCATCACCTGGTCAAAGAATGCAGTAAGATTTGTCTGGCATAATCTTTTTTGACAAACCCATGTTGGCTTTTAGTAATGATTTTGTTTGTCTCTAGGTGTTCGCTGATTCGTTGTTTGATTATCTTTTCCAGAATCTTCTGAGGTATTGAGGTCAGGCTGATAGGTCTGTAATTTCCTGGATCCATTTTCCCCCCTTTTTTGAAGATGGGAACTACATCAGCTTTTTTCCAGTCCTCTGGTAGTTCCCCAGTGCTCCAGGATCTTTATTACGATTACTTGGGTGAGTTGTTCAAATCTGTATGATCTATCGCATCCAATTTGCATTCATGTAGATCTTGCAAGAAATTTTTGTGCAGTCTGAAATTTCAATCAAAGGTTCTAGTATTTGCAGATGTGAATTTTGCACAAAACAGGATTAGAAGTTTCCAGGGCTATGAGTGAGATTGTGTGATTGCAATCCAGAAAGATGTCTTGATCTCTCTAAAATGAGATGTTAGATGGAATTGAATGAAGGGAACCAAGATCCATTTGGCTTTTGGAACAATTCAACTCTGGAAATAACCAGGCAGGGAATGGGCTGCACTCCAAACAATTAAGCTCCTCAACCTCCTTCCTTCCTACTAAAAAAACTGACGATTGCAGCTATAGAAGCTAAAATCTTGCATTTGGAATGAAGGAACACAACCACATATGGCCAACTACACATAGCTATTCAAGAAGACCACTTTTAGACTTCAGCAAGGCATTCAACAAAGTAGACCACAATCTACTTCTTGGAAAGCTAAAAAAAAGTGGGATAGACAGCATCACTGTCAGATGGATTTTTAACTGGCTGACAAACCGTACTCAACAAGTAGCCCTTAATGGTACTACGTCTACATAGAGGGAAGTAAGCAGTGGGGTACCACAAGGTTCTGTCCTAGGCCCACGACTCTTCAACATCTCCACAAATGACTTAGATGAAGGAACAGAAGGGGAACGTATCAAATTTGCAGATGATACTAAACTGGCAGAATAGCCAAAACCCTAGATGACAGGCTCAAGATCCAGATGGATCTTGACAAATTTGAACACTGGGCCCTATCTAACAAAATGAAACTGGGTAAAACCAAGCTTAATAGCAGTGAGAGGGATCTTGGAGTCTTAGTGGACAATCAATTGAATATCAGCCAACAGTGTGCTGCGGCAACCAAAAAAGCCGATGCAATCCTAAGTTGCATTAAGAGAGGGATTCAATCAAGATCATGTGAGATACTAATACCACTCCATAAAGCCATAGTAAGACAACACCTAGAATACTGCAACCAATTTTGGTCTCCACACTATTAAAAAGATGTTGAGACTCTAGAAAAAGTGCAGAGAAGAGTAACAAAGATGATTAGATGACTGGAGACTAAAGCATATGAAGAACGGCTACAGGAACTGAGCATGGCTAGTCTAGTGAAGAGAAGGGCCAGGGGAGACATGATAGCAGTGTTCCAATATTTGAGGGGCTGTCACAGAGAGGAGGGGATCAACCTATTTTCCAAAGCACCTGAAGGCAGGACAAGGAATAATGGATGGAAACTGATCAAGGAGAGATTCAGCCTAGAGCATGGGTGTCAAATTGCTGGCCCGCAGGCCGGACACGTCACAAGGAAACTGCACCCACCCCATTGCCAGCAATGAGGAAACAGCTCCGATACATCACGCGACGTCACAAGTTTGATATGTCTGGCCTAGAGATAAGGAGAAATTTTCTGACAGTGAGAACAATCAACCAGTGGAACAGTTTGCCTTCAGATGTGGGAGTTGTGGGAGTTTCATCACTGGAAGCTTTCAAGAAGAGACTGGACTGCCACCGGTCAGAAATGGTGTAGGCAGGGTCTCCTATTTGGGTGCGGGGTTGGACTAAATGACCTACAAGGTCCCTTCCAACTCTGTTATTTTGCTTCTGATTTATTTACTAACTGCAAATTATGCAGACGAGGCAGGATTATGAGGCAGGACCAGAACCTGCTAGTAAGATTCAAGGAACTTACTGAACTGTGCAGCTTCATTAGAAAAGTTAAAGTAGCATGTTCTGAATCAATGAAGTGGTCTACTTTTTCCCTAATTCACAATCAACTTTTCTATTCTGTTCTTGCCACCTTCTCATTGAAATGAGCAAAGAGCAGTCAATATGGAGTTCCATACAGTATATAGACACACACTACTGTCACCAACGCCACAGCCTCCATACAACTTGTTTGCTATTGCCGAATTCATTTGGCACAAGGAGGCATCAGATATGTCTTCCAACAGGGCATCTAAGAATGCTGGCATTCATAGACATCTGATACAAATCACAGGGACAAAACAGACCTTGTGACCTCAAGATGCACATTCTAACCTTTCCTACTTGCATCCTGACATAACGACAGAAGTCCATGGCATGTATCACAGCAAACATTTCATCATTCCTTAGCCGGCACGATCACATCTGAAGACCAACACAGTGAGGAAGATGATCTAAGTGGGGGAATGAAAGGACTACTGGATGTAAAGAGCTAACAAGCTCCAATCTGAATCAGGAAAGGTACAAATTATTTATTCTTCCTACACACTATCCCCAAGCAAACCAAATAAATAATGCAGAGGCAATGTACACATTTTGGACTTGGGTTTCTGGCTGAACAAGTCTGAGAACTGCTTGGAGTAAAGCCTGTTCAGCATGTCTCTCCTAAGATGCAATGATGTACACAATGCTTTATGCATCCAAAAAACGTGCCCAAATATTGGCCAAAGCCCTCAAACAAGACTGGAAAAAAAATCTGTCAAAAAATCACTCCAAAATGTAGCTCTCCCATCACTCAAAGCATTCCTATTTAGAACACTGAGACACTGAATTGAATAAAATCAGTGTGTTCTTAAGAAAGACCCATTGTGGTAGAGAGAAGTTCCCCAAGGATGGGCTCCAGCACAAGTCCAAGAGCTCGGAAGACTAAACCTCTGGTCCCAGTGACTGACACAGACTAGATCCTGCAACATTACCCTGGGACACATATATTTGCCTTCATATCTAAGAAAGCTTAAGAAGAACTTCAATAATGTATTACTATGATAGCTATGGGATCAACTACTACTTTTCCAACTGCAAAAGAGGTAGAGATGATCTCTTACATTAGTAATCTCCAACTTTTCCAGCTCGGCAGACTGATGGAGATGGGAGAGGGGATGGTTTCATGTGCGCACACGTACCACTTTCGCAAGTGTAGCTTCATGTGCGCACACCCCATCCACCACTTCCACATTCTGGTCCCAAATGGGCTGTGGCCCAGATGTTGGGGACCCATCTTACATCACACTCTCAATATAAGAAGTCACACTCCCTTCTGCACACTCCTGAAGCAAAGGAAGCAACGTTCAGCCTGAAGCATTCTGATACACAGAAGGGGCTTGGAGCCAGGAATAATTTGTATGTTAAAAGCTATGTCATCCTTCAACACAAGTATTAGGGCCTCTACCAAATCCCAAACAATTTCTACTCATCCCTTTTATTCTTGTAACATCCTTATGAGACTAAACTGAGAAAGATGCAATATTGCCCAGTTCACTTTATATTGAGTAGAGATCTGGAGATGGTGGGGGAGAGGTGAGAGAGATTGTTTATTTAAATATTTCTTTAGGGAGACCCATACCCCTTTTTTCATTTTAAGTACAGTGAAAAGACTCAGCCCTTTCCTCACATGTCTCATCAGTTAAATGCTACTGGTGGCAGATGGCGAGACTGTCTTTATTAGACCTATGAAATCAAAAAAATGAACAAACAATGACTCCAAAATAGAAGAAAAAGGTGTATTCTTACCAAGAGACATTAGGGTCTCATAGCTTTCTTGCATAACATCTCGATACAGAGCCTTCTGACGCTGGTCTAGATACACCCATGGCTCCATGATACAAATAGTCTTCTCAGAGGCTTACCAGCACCTGTCAAAAACAAATTAAATGCAGTGAATTTCACTGAAGTAGACTTCCCTTACTTCCAGCCCTCCAGTTGTACTTTGCAGCCCAGCTGTATTTTTTCGCATCTTTGATCCAGTCTCTCATTCTTGTAGCAATCATTGCATCTGATCAGATCAGCGTTAACAAAATACTGTATTCCACAAGCATAAAGCATATTTTATCTGACGGTGCAAAAGCTTCCAGCTTGTTTGATTGAAAAACAACAACAACAAAGGGGAACAACAATGTACTGCAGTAGCCACTTAAAACAGTGACAGCTGCCCTTGCCACAGAGGGATTTCAGGCAGGACAGAAGGAGCAATTGCCTCTCCACGCCAATAAAACTCACTACCATAAATATACAGAGCGCTTCCTCTTACACCAAAAGGAGAATTTCCCACACAAGGCCCCAGGGCAAAAGCCCATCTGAAGTGCTTTTCATGCATCAGACTCTTGTAGGCATCTGGGGACCAGGCCGCTACTTTTGGTTTCCATGGCTTCCAGTTTCAATACAGAAAAGGTTTCACAGGCCTTTAAGCACTTTTGCATCGTAGGCTTACATTGATTCCATAATGGTGTTTCCTCTCTCAGAAAGAGACTCTGGATGTTATCCTTCCAAGGACACGTGTGTGTTTGTGTGTATGTTTGTGTAAAAAAAAAAAAGACTTCCAAGAATATCCAGCATTTTTGCAAAAGCAGGATCTGCCAGACTTTTCCAAAAGGGGGGAAGTGTCCTCAATCCTCTCAATTTCCCCAAGCAGTTTAGTGTAGTGGTTAAGGCATTAAGCTACAAACCAAGAGACCATGAGTTCTAGTCCTATCTTAGATACGTCAGCTGGGTGACCTTGGGCCAGTCCCTCCCAGACCTAGAAGGAAGGGGGGGGGGGGCAAACTATTTCTGAAAAAATAATGCCAATCTGCAGATTTTTTTTTAACATTCATCATAGCTTTCCTTTTCCAGCTTGGCTTATTTCATCTCTTGCCCTCAGAGACAGCTTAAAAAAAATATTTTTTTTTTAAAAAAAACCTGCCTAACTGTCCAGTAGCAGCAGAATCTTTATCTCCCTCCAGGAAGAAAAGGTGCTCCACTAACAATATATGTGAACCTGATGGCTATTTTGAACTACCCTTCCGTCCTTGCAGATTCCTGCAGCCCCCTGCAGCAAAGAGGCTGGCTTTGTGAGTCTTTTTAGCAAATAGCCTGTCTAGCTGCAGTCAGCAGGTTCCTAAGAAAATGCCGTGCTCTGAACTTAAATTCTCTCATATCAAAGTTCATTCCCAGCACCGCAGCAAGTCCTGATCCAGTGCTAAATAATGGGTAACTCAGCTTGCCCAGTTTGATGTGCCCTGAATCAGGTGGGAAAGAGACAAAATCTACACAGGCATTCTGACTTTGAAATTTTATGTCTGGGCTTTTATAATCCTCTTGGTACTGAACAGATCTGCCTTTATATCATAAGCTACAGTGAGAAAACACGTACTTTTGCAAAGAAGCTAAAAATACATTTAAAAAGAAAGAAATTCATTCAGCCCTGGAAGGAAATTTTAAGCCATTCTGTATGATCTTACACAGATCTCTTCAGAGATTAATCCTATTGAATCCAGCTGTACTTAACCTCCAGATAAAATGCACGCAGAAATACAACCTCCTTGCAAGATTTCTTTTATTATTTAAACACGAAAGTTTTTTTTCAATGACCACATCTTACTGTGCAAGTGTAACTGTTACCATTTCATCAACAAATCAAATGTACACAACAGTATCAATAATCATTTTCAGGTCAGTTTATTGATTTGATGAGCCACCAGGAGATTTAGGTGGCAAGATGCAATATCTTGATACAGGAGTTGGACACCCCCAGAAGTGGCAGGAAGATAACAAGAGAGAAAATAAATGCAATTATCTTTCCTCTTCTGATTGCTATTACTGTAGTTCAAAAACTGGCCAATGCTGTTTTTTTTTTTTAAATAAATCACACTAAATAACGGATAAAATAACCTAAGCTCCTGAATACACATTTAAATATGCCACCTGCTCCTTAATCAATACGCGACTAGAATACCGACGCCCCGAAAATTAATTAGGGGTGTATGGCACTGCAACATATGACCCCATCCGGGAGCAGCAAATTGGACCCCAAATCTGATCGGCCTACGCCTAAAAGCTCTTGAATCCGGTACTTTAAATTGGAGGGGGAGACGGCAGTGCAATGCAGTAAGGACAGAAAAAGATATCTCCCGTCTAAGTGCAGCTCCCCGCCTCAAGGGCTCATGTCATATACACCCCCTCCCTCACTCCCATCCCACCGTCCCCTGCAGCCCGAGAACGTCCCACCACCGAGACTCAATTGGGGCTCTCTCCAACCCACCCCCCCAACGGCATTGATTTTATTTTGATCGATGACTTCCCTCCCATTCCACAAAAAAAAAAAAAAAAACACGCGAGGCGAGGGGCATCGGGGCCAATCCTGCAAAAAAAATCCTCCAGGCCCGGATGCCGACGGCCCCACCCCCTCCTCCAGGATTTGCCTTTAATCACCTGCAATCAGCCTGCGGTGCGGCTCCAGCAAGTTTGCAGGTGGGGCGAGGGGGGGGAGTCCCTCTATTGCGGGGGGGGAGGATCGGCGTCGGACACAGCAGCAACCACTTAAGATTAATCCGGATGTGCAGCGGTGACTGAGTCGGGAAACTCCGCCTCTGTAGTGAGGTTGCCGAGCGGCGGCCACGGCCGAGAAAGGAGCAGCTTCCCCTTCTAGACAGGAAGAGGAGCCCTCTGGCGGGCACAGCCCACATCGGGGACCCCCGAAAGACGAGTCCCGGTCGGGGGTCTGGAAGGGGCGGGAGCCCGGACTCGGATTAATTGGGTGGGGTTAGGTATACGGCCAGATACCTTGAACCCTCAACTTCATCAAATACTGGATGAGCGCAACTCGCTGCATCCTCCTCTGATCCTCCTTGTTCGGCGTGTAACGCTTTCCAGCCTAAAATGTGGCTGCTTTGGGATCCGGCGGGCTCAGCCAGTTCAGCCTTTGTGAATCTGCATCCTTTCTTGGCAGTAAATGAAACTGATGTCAGCAGAATTGCTGTTTAGGCATACTAAAAGGACGGTCACAGTTATTACAACAAAGGACGTTCGGTGTCCCTATTGTGCTAGACTGCGCTGCTGGACTGGGACTGCGGAGCAACCTCCGTGTCCACAGATGAACTGCACAACAGTGTGTGTTCTTTGAAGGCAAAGGCCAGCCAAGTATACATAAAAGATCAGCAAGCGCAACTATATGTAAATTTTATCCCACATATGCTGTTTCCAAAAGACATAAAAACTCGGGGGCGCACAGTGGTGTCAGCCTCATACCCCATGTGCGCCATGCCTACCCAAAGGATAAGGTATACAGAGGTGTTCCTTTGGATATATTTGATTGCAAGAACCAGAGTCTCCACAGGGAGGACGTAAAACCCCAAGATGGTGACCACAATGATGCATTCAAGGCCGTCCTTTTTAAAATGTGTTGTTATCTTAATATTTTTTGACAGAGACACCTTTTGATAGGAGGATCCTTATACAGGTAGACTTCAACTTACGACTAGTCGCTTAGCGACTGTTTCAAGTTATGACCACCTGGAAAAGGGGATTTACAACCAGGATTTGAAGTTCTGACAGTCAGCCCCCCTCTGTAATCACACGCCCAAGCTTTGGGTGCATGGCTGCATTTATGACCGTGTTTAATAATAGTTTTTCATTTTCAGTTTTGGCAAAAGCACACTCATGGCAAGCCTTTGGTTTGTTTGATGAGTGCTACAGCTGCTTTACGAATGCCCGGTTTGCTTCGTGATTGCCACAAAAAAGGATCCATTAAGATCATTTGTTGACACTACCTATAAAGCAGAATTCCTGATTGTGTAGAGTGGTAGTTCTTAAACTGGGGTATTTACCTGCAGGAAAAACAGGATGATGATGATTTATCCTGAGGGTAATGGAGCAATATAATTACTGGTTTATGAGTTGAGAATCCAGTTGCAACTGCCACTGCCAAGGTGCTGGTGTATAACAACTGCATCTGGACATTTTTGTGGTGATAACAACATTACTTAAAGACTGGAGAAATATAATCTGGACAACAGTTTAAGAAACACTGAAAGTAGAGATTTAGAGGGCTGTGGATGTTGTCTGTTTTAAGTGTGTTGCAAGACACTATTACCTATTTTACCAGAAAATGTTTTGGCAATTGCAAACTATTAAAAAACATACATCGTTAATTACCTGGACAAGAAATGTTAAATTTACACAAGCTCAAAATTTGAAAGAAAATTTTTATAAAATGTTTTATAGATGGCATTTAGATCCTAAAAAGTTATCTTGTATGTATTCCAATATACAGCCCAAATGTTGGAGATGTGGCAATAATGATGCGACATACTTTCATATTTGGTGGAATTGCAAAAAAGTAAAGGCTTTTTGGATTATGATTTGGTGGAACATTCAAAAGATTTTTAGAAGAAAGATAAAGTTCACTCCTCAACTATTTTTACGTGGTATTTTCGTTGACTTAAATGAAAAAGAAACTACTTTGATGTTGAATTTATTAACTGCAGCAAGGTTATTAGTAGGTTTATACTGGAAGAAAGATTCTTTGCCTACTCTAGAAGAATGGATATTTAAAGTATCTAGTTTTGCAGAAATGGAAAAAATTTCTGCTTATTTAAAGGATCATACACAAGAAAGATATATTATTGTATGGAGAAGATGGATAGATTATATTCAGAAAAAGTATGGAATTAAAAAGTTTCATTTATTTTATGAATGAATATTAAATATTATAGAGAATTGCTTTATAGGTTATGGAGTTAAAGGTTAATTATGATATTTTTTTCTTTTTTTCTTTTCTTTTTTTATTATTATAAATTTTGTTATTATTAACCCTGTATTCTGCTCTGGGAAGTGAAGGGAGGGGGGTTGGGGGTGGGAGGGAGGGTAAGGGGGGGTAAAGGTAGTATAGACAATGATTGCTTATGAATTTATTTTACTTTAAAATTTTATTGTATTTTTATAATGTTTGTATGTTAAAAAATAAAAATTTTCAATAATAAAAAAAAATTACCTGCTTGAATGCTTCTGCAAATTCCGCAATAGAAGGGAGAGAAATTCAGATCTAAAAAATATAAGTTGTCAATTTACAGCCTTCTTTTACTGCTTAATGACAAACCCAGTGCTTTTTTTCTAAAAAAAAAAAAAAGTGCCGGAACTCACACGTCATACAACACGCCTTACCTACCCTGCAAGGTTCCATCCAAAAAAGGTGCCGGAACTCCATTCTGGGCATTCTATGAGAAAAAAAGCCCTGGACAAACCCCCTTTTTCATTTATCTGGAATTAGCCAGTGTAATAAAAGTTATTTAGGTTAGGTATATTAAACCCAAATTCAAGTGCTCACTTCACCATGGAAATCAATGGAACTCTCTCAGTCAACCTGCCTCACACAGTTGTTGTGGGGACAAAATGGAAGAATCCCCCTCCTACTTGTAACACTATATATATCAAATTCACACAAATCTTGCAATAATAGTGTCTTTATTACTTTTAATGAATGCAGGGTTTAAAAAATTAAAACCCAATTTTAGTTCTGTCAGTCTTCATGGTTCTTTTTATGTAGTCTTCACCTTCTCTTAGCTCTTTTTATCAAGCTGGGTGAGTGCATTCTATCATTTTTCAGTCTGCAGCATGCCTCTGGCTGACTCTTTAGGAGACCTAATTATCTTTAATGAAGTAGTAGGAAAACATTAAGTACCATGGAACATATGCGGAGAATTATCATTATGCTTTCCTTTCTGAAAAAAGAATCCTCTTCTAACTCTTCAGATTAGAAAGGCAAATTTTGGCGTCCAGTAAAAATATTTCTACTCAATCTGAAGGATTTTATTGCAAAAAAGTGACTTTTATTTTCCTGAAAATCACAGTATTCCATCAAAAACCTGACTGAGTAAAAGGAAAAGTGGAGACAATTTAGTCCAGCATGCTTTTTTAAACAGAAATTGCACACTTTGAGATGGAAGTCATCTTAAAACAGGATCATATTCAAGTCAATTTCCAGATGAAAATGTTTCAGAATAAAGACAGGTGGGAGGAAAGTTCCATTAATGAACTAACCAATTAGCTAACTAAATAAATAAATGTGGGATATAAATAAATAATTCACAAATGGCAGTGTCAGCTCACAAATGGCACTGTCAGCATGATGCCTTAACTCATGCTGGAATTCAGTGCCCAGTATCCACATGAAATTTAGCAAAAGATAGAAGGGGGGGAAACCAGCATTATTCCCTCACTTTTCATTTTTGTTTGGCACCTGCTCTAATTTTCACAAATCCCCAACTTTTTTTTATAATCAACTGAATTTTAGTACAAAATCTATAAAGTGTGCAAACCTGTATTGGAAAAATGTGATACTTTTTATACTGGCTAGCAACATAGGAACATTTCTTCATGCATACTCTACAGCAGGGGTCTTCAAACTTGGCCCTTTTATGACTTGTAGACTTCAACTCCCAGAATTCCTCAACCAGCATGCCTGGCTGAGGAATTCTGGGAGTTGAAGTCCACAAGTCATAAAAGGGCCAAGTTTGAAGACCCCTGCTCTACAGGCTTGCTTGAATGTGCAAGAGTTAATAGCTTCCTGCACCCTGTTTGTAATTATTAGCAGTTCAAACACAGTGGAAGTACTGCTGCACCTTGCTATTCACCCCAGACCCCACTGTGATTTTTCACAATTTGTAGCAAGGCGCATGTCTGTAGAGATTCTCAATCATCCAGGTCATGGTTGTTTCAAAGGTGTCTTTTCAAGAGACAACTGGACTTTCTTGTTTTTCTTTGAAGATGTTTCATTTCTCATCCAAGAAGCTTCTTCAGCTCTGACTGGATGGTGGGGAATGGATGGATTTATATTCCTTGCAGACAGCTGAAGGTCTGTCCACCAGCAAGGTGGGAAAGAAAAAGAACTAAAACACAACAGAGAAGCCCTCAGAACATGTGGCTATCCCAACTGGGCTTTCATCAAATCTCTCAAAAGACCCAGCAGGAGCTCCTCCATAACAGAGAACAATAAATGAAGCAATGTTGTTTTTCCATACATTGCAGGAATGTCTGAAAAGCTCAGGAGGTTCTTCAGCCAAAAGAACATACATCAGTGTTTCTCAACCTTGACAATTTTAAGGCATGTGGATTTCAACTCCCAGAATTCCACAGCCAGCATTGCTGGCTGTGGAATTCTGGGAGTTGAAGTCCACATGCCTTAAAATTGTCAAGGTTGAGAAACACTGACATACATGCACACTTTAAATCCAAGAATGCACTAAGGCAGAAGCCTGTCCACCCCAAGGATAAAACACCCAGACACAAACTAAGCAATGTGGTATATGCAGTACAATATAGTGATACATGTGCCAATTTGTAGATTGGGAAACCAAACAACCACTTCATGAACACATGGCACAACATAGGAGAACAAACCCATCAGGACCAGATTCAGCAGTCCATCTGCATCTACAAGAAAAAAGCCACTCTTTCGAAGACAGCAAAGTCCATATTTTGGACAGAGAGGACTGCTTGTTTGAAAGAGGGGTCAAAGAGGCCATCTATGTCAAAATTGAATAGGCCTCTTTCAACAGAGGGGGAGGGATACAACATCATCTCTCTCCAGTCTACAACATAGTCCTTTCAACAGCTCCAAGAAGGCTCCACACCCATTTGCACCACTCAGGTGACCTTAAGGACACAGATAAACCTCCAGGCCTCAAAAACTCTCTAAAAGAATGCAGATGACCATAAATCCTTTCATTCCCCACCATCCAGCCAGAGCTGAAGAAGCTTCTTGGATGAGAAGCAAAACATCTTCAAAGAAAAAACAAGAAAGTCCAATTGTCTCTTGATGTAGCAAGATACACTTTTCTGCCAGTAAATGATGGAACTGGAGTAGTAATAGCC